TCACTCACACCACCATCTTACACACACTCACACCCACTTACACTCACTCACACCACCATCTCACACACACTCACACCACCATGTCACACTCACTCACACCACCATCTCACACACACTCACATCCACTTACACTCACACCACCATCTCACACATACTCACACCACCATTTCACATACACTTACACCATCTCACACACACTCACACCCACTTACACTCACTCACACCACCATATCACACTCACTCACACCACCATCTCTCACACACTGACACCCACTTACACTCACTCACACCACCATCTCACACACACTCACACCCACTTACACTCACTCACACCACCATCTTACACTCACTCACACCACCATCTCACACACACTCACACCACCATCTCGCACACACTCACGCCACCATCTCACACACACTCACACCACCATCTCTCACACACTCACACCCACTTACACTCACTCACACCACCATCTCACACACATTCACACCCACTTACACTCACTCACACCACCATCTCACACACACTCACACCACCATCTTACACACACTCACACCACCATCTCACACTCACTCACACCCACTTCACTCACTCACACCACCATCTTACACACACTCACACCACCATCTCACACACACTCACACCACCATCTCACACACACTCACACCACCATCTCACACACACTCACATCCACTTACACTCACTCACACCACCATCTCACACATACTCACACCACCATCTCACACACACTCACACCATCTCACACACACTCACACCCACTTACACTCACTCACACCACCATCTCACATACACTGACACCACCATCTCACACACACTCACATCACCATCTCACATACACTCACACCCACTTACGTTCACTCACACCACCATCTCGCACACACTCACACCACCATCTCACACACACTCACATCACCATCTCACACACACTCACACCCACTTACACTCACTCACACCACCATCTCACACACACTCACACCACCATGTCACACTCACTCACACCACCATCTCACACACACTCACATCCACTTACACTCACACCACCATCTCACACATACTCACACCACCATTTCACATACACTTACACCATCTCACACACACTCACACCCACTTACACTCACTCACACCACCATATCACACTCACTCACACCACCATCTCTCACACACTGACACCCACTTACACTCACTCACACCACCATCTCACACACACTCACACCCACTTACACTCACTCACACCACCATCTTACACTCACTCACACCACCATCTCACACACACTCACACCACCATCTCGCACACACTCACGCCACCATCTCACACACACTCACACCACCATCTCTCACACACTCACACCCACTTACACTCACTCACACCACCATCTCACACACATTCACACCCACTTACACTCACTCACACCACCATCTCACACACACTCACACCACCATCTTACACACACTCACACCACCATCTCACACTCACTCACACCCACTTCACTCACTCACACCACCATCTTACACACACTCACACCACCATCTCACACACACTCACACCACCATCTCACACACACTCACACCACCATCTCACACACACTCACATCACCATCTCACACACACTCACACTACCTTCTCTCACACACTCACACCCACTTACACTCACTCACACCCACTCACACCCACTCACACCACCATCTCACACCCACTAACACTCACTCACACCACCATCTCACACACACTCACACTACCATCTTACACACACACACATCAACTTACACTCACTCACACCACCATCTCACATACACTGACACCACCATCTCACACACAGTCACACCATCTCACATAGACTCACACCCACTTACACTCACTCACACCATGATCTCACACACACTCACAGCACCATCTCACACACACTCACACCCACTCACACCATCATCTCACACCATCATCAACAACAACAACCGCCATTCGCCACTAAGTGGCGGTGACGTCACCACGACGCTTGTGCCAGGCTATGTGCACCCTGAGGCCACGTGAAGTGTCGAACGCCCGCTGGCAGGAGGTCACGGGGCAGACCCAGGTGCCACGGGTCGACTGACTGAGATGACTGGCTGATGCACCACCTTTGCCCCCTACTGTGCCAACCTGCTGTGCTTTTACCACCCGGCGCTCCGCTCGTTGTTGTGAGCGTCGCTCCTCCGCCCTCTGTTGTTGTTGGAGGGCGACTACCTCCAACTGCCCAGTAGCGTCCTTCACGAGCCTCCTCCACAGAGGCCGATCTTGACACCGCTGGTACCAGTCATCGGCAAGTCCACTAAGCTCCACGTCCTCCTGTACCACATCACTCCATCTCTTCTCTAGCCCGTGCCGCGCCCGCTTAGCCCCCTCAATCCGTCCGAACAAAAGCTGTTTCGGCATGCAGTGGCTGGGCATGCAGGCTACATGACCCAGCCATCGCAGCCTTCCCCGCCGGAGGAGCTCACCGATGGGACCTTGCCCAGATCTTTCAAGGATTTGTGAGCTCCTCACACAATCCAGTCTGGTCAAACCCAGGATGGATCGTAGGCAGGCCAGCCTAAATGTTTCTAACCGGCGACGATGTTCCATTAGGGGGGTCCACGTTTCGCAAGCGTAGAGAAGGGAGGGAATGACCGTGGCGAGAAGACCTGAAGCTTAGTGCTGAGCGACAGACCAGGTAGCTTCCACACAGCGTTACGCAACCGATGAAAAGATATTTCCGCTCGACTGATTCGGAGTGAGACCTCTGCTGTTAAACTGGAGCCGGTCATAAGCACACTGCCCAGGTATGGGAAACTCTCCACTTTCTCCACAACTGCCCCATCACCGATTGGGAGTTGTGGGGGTGGAGTGTCCGATGGTACAAAATACCCAGGCAGGTGCTTAGTTTTGGTGGGGCTGATGGTAAGGCCCCACCTCTTAGTGACACGCTCCAGTCTCAGCAGCCGCAGCGTCTCCCAACTCCTCCTCTGAATGAGCAGCTATTACCAAATCATCGGCATACATAACGTGGTTGAGCAATAGGGAGCCATCCCTTGTCCGCACCCGGGCATCGATCAGCCTCCCATTATATCTGTACCATATGGAGATTCCCCCGGTACAGCTATTGAAGGCTTCACGAACTACGTGGTCAAAATAGATGTTAAATAATGTGGGAGCCAGAGGACATCCCTGTCGCACCCCAAGGTGTACAGGGAATGGCTCTGACTCCTGGCCACGTAGTTTTACCCGGGCCGCTCACCATCATGAAGGTCCTTAATGATCGTGAGCAGAGGGTCAGGTACTCCAAAAGCACGAAGAACAACCCAGAGCCCAGACCTACTGATGGTATCATAGGCCTTGACCAGGTCAATAAAGCAGAGATGTAGGTCTTGTTGGAATTCCCTACACCTCTGCTGTCGCAGACGGAGAGAAATATGGCATCTGTGCAGGACCGCCCTTTCCTGAAACCGCATTGGGGCTCCGCAAGCCTCTCCTCAGCGTGCCTGGCAAGTCGATGCTGAATAATCCTTGCCAGGACCTTTGCCGGCACACTGAGGAGTGAGATGCTCCTGTAGTTACAGTCTGGGCACTCCCCCTTCTTAAAAAGGGGGACCACCAGGTCTTCCTTCCAATCCTGGGGAACCCGTCCAGTGGTCCAGACCATTGTTATGATGTCATATAGGGCAGTCTGTGCACAAACGCCACCCTCCCTCAGCATTTCGCTTGGGAGATCATCTCTGCCCGCTGCATTTCCTGGTCTCAGACTCCGGATCGCCTTCAGTACTTCCTCAACAGATGGCATCTCAGCCAGCCACTCACAGGGGGTGACTTCTTCCAATATTTGAGGCACCGCAGCCTCAGCAGGGTCATCCTCACTTTGTGCCACGATGTTTTCCTGGCTGAGGGATTTTCCCTCCCCCAGGACTTCACAGAAATGCTCAGCAAATCTGCAAATCTGTTCCTGGGGGTCGGAGATTGGATCACCGTTTTTTCCCCTAATGATGGTAATAGGTGTGGCGCTGCAGGTTACTTTTTTGATGGAATTAAATAGAGATTTGTGATCGCGGGCCACTGAGGCAGACTCCATCTCCTCAGCAACCCGCGACCACCACCCATCCTTGCAGCGCCTCACGGCTCTCCGAACCTCCGAGCGAAGGCTGCTGTAAGCCTCCTCATTCTCTGACGTGGGATTCTGTAGCCGATGACAGTGGGCCTGTCGCTTTTTCTCAACCATCCTGAACACCTCCTCTGTCAGCCAGGGTCTCTGGCTGACACCATCATCTCACACACACTCACATACATTCACACCCACTCGCACCCACTCACACCATCATCTCACACTCACTCGCAACCACTCACAACCACTCACACCCACTCACAACCACTCACACCCACTCACAGCCACTCACAGCCACTCACACCTGTGCTCACACCCACTCACACCTGTGCTCACACCCACTCACACCTGTGCTCACACCCACTCACATCCGCTCACACCTGATGCTTACACCCACTCACAACCACTCACAACCACTCACACCTGATGCTTACACCAACTCACACCTGATGCTTACACCCACTCACACCCACTCACACCTGTGCTCACACCCACTCACACCTGTGCTCACACCCACTCACACCTGTGCTCACACCCACTCACAACCACTCACAACCACTCACACCCACTCACACCTGATGCTTACGCCCACTCACACCTGATGCTTACACCCACTCACACCTGATGCCTACACCCACTCACACCCACTCACAACTGATGCTTACACCCACTCACACCTGTGCACACTCTGTGCTTGGAAAGGTGAGTTTGTGTGTGTGACTGGTGGGGTTTTCTGGGGGGTGCTATATGGTGTGTGCTGCTGTGAGTTTGTGTGTGCTCGGGTGTGGCAGGGTGTGCTGCTGTGTGCTGCATAGTGTATGCTGGTGTGAGTTTGTGGGTGCTGCATGGCGTGTGTCGGTGTGCGTCGCACAGGGGGCAGGTAGCGGCGCTGCTCCTCTGCATCTGCGTCTACCCCAGGGACTGCACAGCTCGGCAGCAGCAACGAGTGAGACACCAATCCTGCCTTCGGCTGCCTCTATGAGCACTAGCCGTGTGTGTTTGGGGAGTGGTGGCGCAGCGGTCAGCACACTACACTGTGAACCCGGCGGCCCGAGTTTGATTCCCGCTCACGACCAACACCAGTAAGGATTATCTGAACCGGTCCTGGGCCTCCCCTAAGTCAACTCAGCCTCAAATAAGTACCTGGCGTGGTGTGTAGTAAACATCGCCACTAGGGAGACAAAGGCGGTCGAGCGTGGTGCTGGCCACCGACCCCGTCATGTGTCCCGCCGGTCTTCATCGGTGTTTGCTAACAGCACTTGCCCCAACAGTCTGTTAAATGCCTGTGGGTGTGAATGTGTGAGAAGCTGACCGGTGCCCGGGTGCAGTCAAGGAATGGCTGTCCATTGGTCAACCATGTTGATAATTTGGTAATTGCTGCTCACTCTGATGAGTTAGAGACTGCTGCGGAACCTGGAGCGTGCCACTCGCCCATCCGTCCCACAATAACAAAGCCAGGCTATTTTGTTATTGGCCACAGTTATGCCCCTCCCTTCTCTATACTTGTGAAACACGGACCCCTTTATAAGTAACATCTGCACTGGTTTGAAAATTCAGGCTGGCCTGCCTGTGATCTATTCTGGGTTCAATCAGACTGGATAGTGTAAGGAGTTCACAGATCCTTGAAAGATCTGGACACAGTCCCATCATCAGTGAGCTCCTCTGGCAAGGCAAGGCTGCGTTGGCTGTGTCAAGATCGGCCTCTGTGGAGGAGGCTCGTGAAGAACGCTACTGGCCAGTTTTAGGCATTCGCCCTCCAGCAACAGAGCAGAGGAGCGACACTCACAACAATGAGTGGTGTGCTGGGCATATAAAACGCGAAGTGACACAGTAGGGGGCACAACTAGTGCATCTGCCAGTCATCTCATTCACTCAACCCATGGCACCTGGGTCTGTTCTGTGACCTGTTAACAGCGAGAGCATTCCACACTTCACTTGGCCTCAAAGTGCACCTAGTCTGGCACAAGCGCGCTTGGTTAGGTAACACCACGATGGTGAATGGCGGTTGCTGTTGTTGAGTGGGTGAATCTTTTGTGAGTGGGTGAGGGTTGAGTGGTTGGGTGAGTGGGTGGGGGGGGGTGAGTAGTCGGGTGAGTGAATCAGGGGGTGAATGGGTTGGGTGAGTGAGTGGGTGGGGGGGTGAATGGGTTGGGTGAGTGAGTGGAATAGATCAACGAGCAGAGTGAACCAAAGAGGAGTTAATGGGAAAAGTGACCATGGTCGTAGCTATAGAAGAGTGACACGGAGGGGACTGACCACTGCTGTCTTGGCAGGACCCAGTTTCCCCCTGGCCAGGAGACCCAGAGGACTTGGAGGAGCCAGGAAGAGTGTCCGCTCACCGGGCGAGGAGGCAGGTGGAACCCCAGCGGTGGAGCGGCGCCCGGATTGGAGCTGGGGGGATGGAGGAGGGGCCGGTTCCAGCGGTCGGGGAGGTCACTGGGACCTGGGGTCAGTGGGGGCCCTGGTCCCCTTGCACGCGTACGTGTGAAGGGGGGGTCATGGAGCAGATGAGGCCATGTCTGCCCGCGGCCCCCCATGCCCCTGCGCCACCCGCGGAGCAAGGGGGCCACGGATACGGCCACCACCAACAGCAGCACCAGCGGCGGCGGCAGCAGCACGGCTACAGCGACCTCCAGGAGCTTGAGCCAGTGCGTGCAAGCCATCAGCAGCAGCATCATCATCAGCAGCAGCAGCAGCATCATCAGCAGCAGCAGCAGCAGCTCAGCCGGCTCTGGCATGGCGCTCGTGGCTCAGCTCATTCCCTGCAGGGACGTTTTCCAGCGAGAGTGCTCAGTTCCCTGCATCGCTCACAGCCCTCGCTCACCCGGTGAGTCACTCTCACCCCCTTGCTCACCCGGTGAGTGACTCGCATGTCCCACTCACCAGAGGGTGATGTACACACTCCCACTCACAAAGTGAGCAACTTACACACTCCCACTCATCAGGTGAGTTACTCTCACCCCCTTGCTCACCCAGTGAGTGACTTACATACGCCCTTGCTCAGCTGGTGAGTGAATTACACACCCCCTTGCTCACCCATTGAGTGACTCGCACACCCCCTGCTAGCCCGGCGATTGGCACGCACCCCTGTTCACCCCGACACCCTGTGGGCAACTCGCATCCCACACGCTGGCCTCAGCTTGAAGCCATTATTGCTACTATGGAGCGGGGGGGGGGGGTCTGGGGTAGTGGGGGGCATCTGGGTCGGGACCCCCCCGCACCGCACCGCAGGGTTTTGGCGGCCACGTTTCCCAGACATTTGTGCGTCTGCGTGTGTGTCCTCCGTGTGTGTGTCCGTGTGTTAAGGGGCACTGCTGTGGTGAGATGTTAACTCTCTCGCCTGGTATGCAGGAGGTTGTCGGTTTGATCCCAACCCTGACGCCTGCTGCATATGTGGAGTTTGCGTAGCTCTCTCCCAGTGGTCGCGTGAATTATTTTCCGGGTCGTTCAGTTTTAAAAATTTCCACATGATAAGCCACTTTGTTGAGCTATCATTTGTGGCCAGGTCGCTTCTGAAAAAAGAGCTGTACAGCTCAGTTGTCCATGTCTCCGTTGTGTCTGTGTGTGTCCCGTCATGCCCCCGTTGTGTCTGTGTGTGTCCCTCCATGTCACCGTGTCGTCTCCGTGTCTCCGGCTCTAGCAGCTGTGGTCGCGACGTCACTCTTATTTTTAAGTCTTAGAGCTAGAGCCAGATTCCCGTTACAAGGGAGACGTCACCGTGATGGTAGTGATTGTGATGCGAAAATGTGGTCATGATGCTCTATTGTGTCGATGGTGCTATATATCGGTGGTGATGCCGCCGTGATGTTTGGTGATGTGCGATGTTGCGGCGTGCAGCCTCCGGGAATCTCGTTCCACGCATGCCACACTCGCCCACCAGACCGGCCAGGCTCCATGGCCTGCTGGTGGAGCCGGATCTGGGTCTCCGCGCACCTCCATCAGCTGTGTTGGTGCTTTCCGGCGTCACCGCCTGTGCAATGCGCAGGTACCATGTGTGTGCCAGTGTGTGTGTGTGTGGGGGGGAGCGGTAGTGTAGCGGTTAGCGTTTTGCACTACGAACCTGGTGACCCGGGTTCGATTCCCGCTCATGGCCAACACCGGTGACGATTATCTAAACCGGTCCTGGGCCTCCCCTAGGTCGATTCAGCCTCAAATGAGTACCTGGTGCAATATGTAAACATCGCCACTGGGGAGACAAAGGCGGCCGGGGGTAGTGTTGGCCACTCACCCCCTCGTGTGCCATGTCGACCTTCATAGGTGCTCGCTAACAGCACTTGCCCCTACAGTCTGTTACAGGTTACACGGGGGATCTTTGTGTGTGCCAGTAATGCCACGGTTAGTTTGCTGCACTACGAACCCGATGGCCCGAGTTTGATTCCTGCTCAAGGCCAACAGCAGTGACTATTACACTATGTAACACAATTTTTGTTCCTGGGTAGTAAGTGTTATTTCCTAATTGCTTATGCCTCAAAAGTACAGAAAATGGCTATTATTCCCCACAAACTTTGATTTTTTGACCAGAACAGTGATATTTTGAAATGTATCTACTTTCAATGAGAAAATGGGTGAATTTGTGTCGTTTCGTTCACATAAAGTCAGAAAAAAACAACATATGAATCAAAATTAACATGTATTTATACTAAAGTAATACAAAAAATGAGTCGTTTTTGAGATTTACGATTATATTGTAAATCACTTTCACGAATCAGCCCCCAAATGTAGTATCCCATCATGTTATCGTTATACTGTCCTTGGTAACGGCGTTTAAAGTCCAGTATATCCTGGTGGAAGCGCTCGCCTTGCTTCTCCAAGTACGCTCCCATGTTCTCCTTGAATTTATCAAGATGAGCATCAAGGATATGGACTTTGAGGGACATCCTACAGCCCATTGTACCGTAGTTCTTCACCAGAGTCTCAACCAGCTCCACATAGTTTTCGACCTTGTGATTGCCCAGGGAGCCACGAACCACTGTTCCAAACCATCATCAGGAAAAAAGTGTTGCGATCGAAACGTCGTAGTTTTTTTTGTCATTTCCATTGAACTTATCTACGTGATTTTACCGAAAGACCCAAAGAATAGGACGTGACCTGTTCATGATTATGAATGAGAGGGGTTGGTTGACGTGGAGTGACGTCACGCACGTTTGACACTGACATTCTTGAGTAACTATAGTCGTAAATGGGGGGGGGGGGGGGGGTGTCCATTTGGAGGACATCACCCGTTAATGATTATTAATGGGGGCTGTTTGATGTGGAGTGACGTCACCTGCTCATGATTATTAATGAGGGGGGAGGGTGCTCCATGTGGAGTGACGTCACCTGCTCATGATTATTAATGAGGGGGGGTCCATGTGGACATAATCTGTTCATTATTATTAATGAGGGGGGCTGGTCGACGTGGAGTCAGGTCATGAGCGTTGCACACAGACAGTGTTGGCTCTAGTAGGTAATAATAATGGGTGTCAATTTGGAGGACGTCATCTGCTCATGAATATTAATGAGGGGGGCTGGTGGATGTGAAGTGAAGTCACGAGCATTAAGGACAGACTTTCCTGGGTGATTATAGTAGGTATGGCCCAGGCAATTAAATCTTTTATTTCTGGGACACTATTGTTTCCCAGGGATGTTAACTCCGCGACTGGGGTACCAATCAATCCGAAATCAGTGCCACTCCGCAATGTTGAAACACAGCGAGGACGATTGAGCTGAGACCCCGAATGCTCGTACGCACCGTAGTGGTGCATCGTGTACAGCTCGTCGAGGTGAGTCGATTGCCGCTTCGCCGACCATCAACAGACTAAAAATGACTGCATCACGGACATCATGTGAGAGCCGGGGTACTATGGTACTAAGGGGTTGCGCCATAAGGTTCAATTGTCCATCTTATTTTACAAAGTTTTTTTGCATTGCTTGCAGGTGAAACGAGATGCCCAGAGTTTGTCTTGATCCCCGACAGGCATGCCGAAATATGCCTTGTAGGCCTCACACATCTTAGCAGATGCTTCCACAGAGTACTTTTTTGCTCTTGTCTTGATACATTGGCCGCAGACATAGCAAAATGCGTCTGTCAGATTTTTGCAGCCTCTTGATGCCATCTCAGAAAAATGCAGATATGTATCCACTTAGGCAGCTGGAACTAAACTGAACTGGTGGGCTTAAGGCCCCTGCATTTATACTACTATTTATATTACTGGAAGGTTCTAGAATGTTCTAGAAGTTACTCCTAGTTACTCAGCACTGAATCTATCTGGAATGTTCTGGAAAAAAGGTAAATTTCTAAATATCACTATCCTGGTCACAAAAGCAAAGTTAACATGATGGGATACTACATTTGGGGGCTGATTCGTGAAAGTGATTTACAATATAATCGTAAATCTCAAAAACGACTCATTTTTTGTATTACTTGAGTATAAATACATGTTAATTTTGATTCATATGTTGTTTTTTTCTGACTTTATGTGAACGAAACGACACAAATTCGCCCGTTTTCTCATTGAAAGTAGGTAAATTTCTAAATATCACTGTTCTGGTCAAAAAATCAAAGTTTGTGGTGAATAATAGCCATTTTCTGTACTTTTGAGGCATACACCATTAGGAAATAACACGTACTACCCAGGAACAAAAAAAATGTTACACAGTGTTATCTGAACCGTTCCTGGGCCTCTCCTAGGTCGACTAGGTGTAAACCACATCGTCACTAGGGAGACAAAGGCGGCCGGGCGTGGTTGCTGGCCACCCACCCCCTCATGTGCCGTGGCGGCCTTCATAGGTGCAGCTCCCTAAACAACACTTGCCTCAACAGTCTGTTCAGGTTATATGGGGGATCTTTGTCTCTGTGTGTGCCAGTGTTTGATACTCGCTCACGGCCAACATTGGTGGCGAATATTTGAATCGTTCCTGGACCTCCCCTAGGTCAATTAAGCCTCAAACGAGTACCTGGTTGCATGCGATGTGTAAATATCAACATTGGGGAGACAAAGATAGTAGGGCGTGGTGCTGACCACCCACCTCCTCGTCTGCTTGCCATACTTGGTGCTCGCCAAAAAACTCGCCTCCAACAGTCTGTTAAGGCTACACAGGGGTCTTTGAGTATATGTAGGAGAGTGGTGAGTGTGTGCATATGTAGGGTGCATTCGGGTTGGGTAGTGAAGGGGTGAGTATGGCCCGAGGATGTAATGTAGGGGTGAGTGTGTGTAGGGGTGATTAGTGGAGTGGTGAGTTTAGGAACTGGGTGAGGCTGGTAAGCGAGCGAAGCGGGTTTTGGAAGCTTCTCAGATTACCATGCAACCTTACGAATGAGCGACGATTACATTTCACACGCCTGTGTGCGTGCGTGTGTGTGGAGCGGTAGCGCAGCAGTTAGCGCCGTGTGCTCCAAACCCGGCGACCGGGAGTTCGATTCCCCCCTCACGACCACCATCGCTGGCGGAGGGGCGCAGGGGGTGTTTGTGTCGTTGTGAGACATGGCAGTGTGCGTGTGTTGATTGCACGTGCATGAGTGTGTAGGTATATACGTGTGCACGGGTGTGGTCCAAACAACAGCCCTGGGGAGACAAAGGCGGCCGTGTTGTCGTTGCTGTGCGTGTGCAGCCCTGTCCAGCCGGCATGCGAGATTTCCGGACGGTGCAGTGCGCCAACTACAATGGCCGCCCGTTCATGGGCCGCCACTACGAGTGGGAGCCCTTCACTGAGGGTAGGCGCGCACGTGTGTGTGCATGTGTGTGTGTGCACGTGTGTGTGCACGTGTGTGTGTGCACGTATGTGTGTGCGCGCGTGTGTGTGTGCGCGCGCGCGTGTGTGCACGTGTGTGTGTGCGTGTGTGCGTGTGTCGAGGGTAAATGGGCGAGGTTTAGGACTGTGACTCATGCAGCTGCAATGGCTGCTTTGGGTACGCGGTCCAGACCTCCCCAGAGACCCTGGCTGACAGAGGAGGTGTTCAGGATGGTTGAGAAAAAGCGACAGGCCCACTGTCATCGGCTACAGAATCCCACGTCAGAGAATGAGGAGGCTTACCACAGCCTTCGCTCGGAGGTTAGGAGAGCCGTGAGGCGTTGCAAGGATGGGTGGTGGTCGCGGGTTGCTGAGGAGATGGAGTCTGCCTCAGTGGCCCGCGATCACAAATCTCTATTTAATTCCATCAAAAAAGTAACGTGCAGTGCCACACCAATTACCATCATTAGGGGAATAAACGGTGATCCAATCTCCAACCCCCAGGAACAAGTTTGCAGATTTGCTGAGCATTTCTGTGAGGTCCTGTGGGAAGGGAAATCCCTCAGCCAGGAAAACATCGTGGCACAAAGTGAGGATGACCCTGCTGAGGCTGCGGTGCCTCAAATATTGGAAGAAGTCACCCCCTGTGAGTGGCTGGCTGAGGTGCCATCTGTTGAGGAAGTATTGAAGGCAATCCGGAGTCTGAGACCAGGAAAGGCAGCGGGCAGAGATGATCTCCCAAGCAAAATGCTGAGGGAGGGTGGCGTTTGTGCACAGACTGCCCTATATGACATCATAACAACAGTCTTGGACCACTGGACGGGTTCCGGAGGATTGGAAGGATGCCCTGGTCGTCCCCCTCTTTAAGAAGGGGGACTGCACAGACTGTAACAACTACAGGGGCATCTCACTCCTCAGTGTGCCGGGAAAGGTCCTGGCAAGGATTATTCAACATCGCCTTGTCAGGCACGCTGAGGAGAGGCTTACGGAGCCCCAATGCGGTTTCAGGAACGGGCGGTCCTGCACAGATGCCATATTTTCTGTCCGTCTGCTAAAGCAGAGGTGTAGGGAATTCCAGCAAGACCTACATCTCTGCTTTATTAACCTGGTCAAGGCCTATGATACCATCAGTAGGCCTGGGCTCTGGGTTGTTCTTCGTGCTTTTGGAGTACCTGACCCTCTGCTCACGATCATTAAGGACCTTCATGATGGTGAGCGGGCCCGGGTAAAACTACGTCGCCGGGAGTCAGAGCCATTCCCTGTACACCTTGGGGTGCGACAGGGATGTCCTCTGGCTCCCACATTATTTAACATCTATTTTGACCACGTAGTTCGTGAAGCCTTCAATAGCTGTACCGGGGGAATCTCCATATGATACAGATATAATGGGAGGCTGATCGATGCCCGGGTGCGGTCAAGGGATGGCTCCCTATTGCTCAACCACGTTATGTATGCCGATGATTTGGTAATAGCTGCTCATTCAGAGGAGGAGTTGGGAGACGCTGCTGCTGAGACTGGAGCGTGCCACTAAGAGGTGGGGCCTTACCATCAGCCCCACCAAAACTAAGCACCTGCCTGGGTATTTTGTACCATTGGACACTCCGCCCCCACAACTCCCAATCGGTGATGGGGCAGTTGTGGAGAGAGTGGAGAGTTTCCCATACCTGGGCAGTGTACTTATGACCGGCTCCAGTTTAACAGCAGAGGTCTCACTCCGAATCAGTCGAGCGGCAATATCTTTTCATCGGTTGTGTAACGCTGTGTGGAAGCTACCTGGTCTGTCGCTCCGCACTAAGCTTCAGGTCTTCTCGGCCACGGTCATTCCCTCCCTTCTCTACGCTTGCGAAACGTGGACCCCCTTAATGGAACATCTTCGCCGGTTAGAAACATTTAGGCTGGCCTGCCTACGACCCATCCTGGGTTTAACCAGGCTGGATTGTGTGAGGAGCTCACAAATCCTTGAAAGATCTGGTCAAGGTCCCATCGGTGAGCTCCTCCGGCAGGCAAGGCTGCGTTGGCTGGGTCATGTAGCCCGCATGCCTAGCCACCGCATGCCGAAACAGCTTTTGTTCGGCCGGATCGAGGGGGCTAAACGGCACGGGCTAGAGAAGGAATGGAGTGATGTGGTACAGGAGGACGTGGAGCTGAGTGGACTTGCCGATGACTGGTACCAGCGGTGTCAAGATCAGCCTCTGTGGAGGAGGCTCGTGAAGGACGCTATTGGGCAGTTGGAGGCAGTCGCCCTCCAACAACAACGGAGGGCGGAGGAGCGACGCTCACAACAACGAGCGGAGCGCCGGGTGGCTAAAGCACAGCAGGTTGGCACAGTAGGGGACACAGGTGGTGCATCAGCCAGTCATCTCACTCATCTTAGTCAGTCGACCCGTGCCACTTGGGTCTGCCCCATGACCTGCCCGCGGGCGTTCAACACTTCACGTGGCCTCAAGGTGCACATGGCCTGGCACAAGCGTCGTGGTGACGTCACCGCCACTTAGTGGCGAATGGCGGTTGTTGTTGTTAATGTGTGTGAGGGTGTGTGAGGGTGTGCGTATTAATGTGTGTGAGGGTGTGCGTGTTAATGTGAGTGTGTGAGAGTTATTCACTCTTGGATTGGTGTGGTGATGTGGATTGAGTCTATGGGTATCTGTGAGTCATCGGGTCTCCATTTTAGTAATCGCATCTCTGAGTCTATGAGGCTCTATGTGAGTATGTGCGGAGGTGGGGAAGGGTGAGAAGGATGAGGGAAGCCGGTGAGGAGTGGGCGGTGAGGAGGGGGCGGTGAGGAGGAGTGGGCGGTGAGGAGGGGGCGGTGAGGAGGAGTGGGCAGTGAGGGCGGAGAGTTTGATTCCTGTTCATGGCCAAAACCAGTGGCCATTATTTGAACCGGTCCTGGGCCTCCCCTAGGTTTACTCAGCCTCAAATGAGTACCTGGTGAGGTGTGTAAACATTGCCACTAAAGAGACAAAGGTGGCCGGGCGTGGTGCTAGCCAACCCACCTCCTCTTGTTCCGTGGTGCCCTTCATTGGTGCTCTTTGACAGCACTTGCCCAAACAGTCTATTGAGGTTTTACGAGGGATCTTGGTCTTTTTGGAGTGTGTGTGGTGTGTGATGTGGGTGACATGTGTGACTGTGACTGCATGTGAGGTGTGTCATGTAATGTGAGCGTGGACGATGATGTGGGTGAAGTGATTTGTCAGTGTGTGCACAGTGTCCAGTGTGTAGGTGATGTTTGTATATCTTTGTCTCTGTGCTGTGGTGTGCGGTGATGGGTGTGGGTCTAAGTTAGTGCAGCAGTGGTTAGCGCTTTACGCTACGATCCGGCGTTCGATTGCCGTCCACAAACAATAACACCGACAATTCTCCAAACCCATCCCAGACGTCCCTTGGTCGACTCGGCGTTCATCTATGCTGAGTTGATCTCAGCGAAGCCCGGGATTGGTTACTGGGGAGACAGAAGGGTGCAGAGAGACTGGGGGAGGTGCAGGGAGACTGGGGGAGGTGCAGGGAGATGGGGGGGTGAGTGAGGGGGGGTTGAGGGTGAGTGAGGGGGGGGTTGAGGGTGAGTGAGGGGGGGGTTGAGGGTGAGTGAGGGGGGGTTGAGGGTGAGTGAGGGGGGGATTGAGGGTGAGTGAGGGGGGTTGAGGGTGAGTGAGGGGGGGTTGAGGGTGAGTGAGGGGGGGGGTTGAGGGTGAGTGAGGGGGGGTTGAGGGTGAGTGAGGGGGGGGGTTGAGGGTGAGTGAGGGGGGTTGAGGGTGAGTGAGGGGGGGTTGAGGGTGAGTGAGGGGGGGGGTTGAGGGTGAGTGAGGGGGGTTGAGGGTGAGGGTGAGTGAGGGGGGAGTTGAGGGTGAGTGAGGGGGGGGGTTGAGGGTGAGTGAGGGGGGGGGGAGTTGAGGGTGAGTGAGGGGGGGGTTGAGGGTGAGTGAGGGGGGGGGGTTGAGGGTGAGTGAGGGGGGGGGTTGAGGGTGAGTGAGGGGGGGGGGTTGAAGGTGAGTGAGTGAGGGGGAGTTGAGCATCTAGTGCGATGTGTAAAAACATTGTCACTAGGGAGACAAAGGCGGCCGGGCGTGGTACTGGTCGCCCACTCCCTTGTGTGACGTTCTTTCTTTCATTGGTGCTACTAACAGCACTTGCCCCAACAGTCTTTTAAGGCTATAGGGGGGTGGATCTTTGTCTTTGTTGCGCAGTGTGCGAGGGGTAGTTGAAGGGTGAGTGAGGCTGGATTGGCGGTGGGGGAGGGTGGGAGATGATGTGTGCTCATAACATACACACACATCTACACTCGGACACACATTTCCTGTGTCCTCCCTCCTCTCACTTTTCTCTTCCCCCCCCCTTCTCTCTCTCCTTTCACTCCATTCTCCCTCGCCTTCTCCCTCACCTTCTCCCCTCTCTTTTCCCCTCCTCTCTCCCTCATCTCTCTCTGCTCTCACCGGTCTCCTGTCCTCCTCCTCCTCCACTCCCCTCTCTCACTGCACTCTCACCGCCCTGAGTGCTCCCCCCGGGTCGCGCCTCTCTCTTCCACACATCCACCCCTACGCTGGGACGAGGAACGCACAGCAGCAGCAGCAGCCGCAGCAGCCACGCCCCGACCCCTGGGTGAACAAGCAAAATAAATAACTCGGCGTCCTTCTCGGTGCCGATTGCAACAAAACCGTCATGGCGTTTGTAACGAGTGCAGCTCTCGTTAACCTCCCTAAGCAGGATGGCGGGAGGGAGGAGACCGAGCATCTTCTTGTTGCTCATAAAAGAGAGGGAGGGAGGAAGGGAGGAACAAATATTACATAGACAACATAGGGGGAACATAGACATGGAGTAGGGAGAGAGGGGATAGAGAGAGAGAGAGGGAAGGGGCAAGGAGAGCAGAGCGTGAAATCTATTGTGAAATCTTTCATTTATAAAGGAGGGGGGGGGGGGGGTTTACATAAAGCAAAGCATTAAAAAACTAAATGATGAACGAAGCAAAGCACCGAGCATCTTCTTGTTTCCTCTGATCGTAAAAAAAGAGGGAGGAAGAGGGAGGGAGAGGAGAGAGAGGGAGGGAGAGGAGAGAGAGGGAGGGAGAGAGAGGAGAGAGAGGAGAGGGAGGGAGAGGAAGTGAGCGATTTTGAGGCATGGGAAGGCAGCCAGAACCGGTGCTACCAACAACTGCCCAAGCTCTGCGGTCCTATATTTATTTGTGAATGAACAGGCAGATAAGCCGCCTCCTTCACATAACAGTCCCTCCACATAAACATTATTCCTTCAGTATCATTGTGATTCTGTTTCTGAAACCGCACGGCGCATGACGCGGGGCCAGTCGGGAGACTCCGTGGGCTCCCCCAGGGAAGTTGCTCCCCCTCTGCTTTGTCCCGGGAGCTGCGGTGACGAGTCACATGGACGGAGAGACCAGGGCAGGGGGCGCCCTGGAGATGCCCAGGGGGGACCCAGGGTGGCCCAAGGGGTTCCTGTTCTCATCCCAAGTTCAGGGGGGCCTCTTCCCCTCCCACCCCCACCCCCCCTCCCCTCTATTTGAGTCACCCAATAGTTTTGTGTGTGCACCTAGCATAGTACAATAGCTGTCGCCATGTCACCACCACTTAGTGGTGAACATTAGCTGCTGTTGTGTGTGTGTGTGGGGTGAGCGGTGGTATGGCGGTTTGCGCATCGCGCTACGAACCCGGCGACTCCGCGTTCTATTCCCACTCACGGCCGTCGTCAGTGGCACGCTGGGGGTGGTGGTGGTGATGATCATGGTAATGATTACCGTGGTGATGGTGGTGACCGTGGTGATAATGGTGGTGGTGGTGACCGTGGTGATGATGGTGGTAGTGATGGTGGTAATGGTGATGGTGTGTGTGTGTGCTGTAGTGCGCGTGGAGCACCGCTGTGAGCTGAACTGCAAAGCGGTTGGATTCAAGTTCTACGTACGCCACGCAGAGCGGGTCGTCGATGGGACCTCCTGCGTGGGGGACCCCGCCCTCTTGACTGGGCCCCCTGGAACCCTCGGGCCCCCCGCCGAGCCTGCACACACGGACGCGGGGATGCACGTGTGCGTGTCCGGGCAGTGCAAGGTGAGCGCCTCCGTCGCCCGACATCCGGGCCTCCACTCCTAATCCCGGCCTTGGTGGCACCGTGTGGCGCCGTGTAGCGTGGTGTGATGCGGTGTGTCCCCGTGTGGCGAGCAGCGCGTGGGCTGTGACGGGCTGCTGGGCTCGGGGCTGACGGACGACCGCTGCGGCACATGCGGTGGTGACGGCGGCGCTTGTCGCGTGGTAGCTGGGACGTTCCGCAGGGCTGCGCTCGAGCCCGGCTACCACCGTGTCGTGGCCATCCCCGCAGGCGCCACCCACATCCGCGTCTCCGAGCTCACGCGCTCGCGCAACTACCTGGGTGCGTGCGCACACGGCGTGTACATACATACGTGTGCGTACGTGTGTGTGTGCGTGTGGGGAGCGGGAGTGCATTGGTTAGCTAACACCAGTGACGATTATTTGAAGTGGTCCCTGGCCTCACCTAGGTCGACTCAGTCTCAAATGAGTATCTGGTGGAGTGTGTAAACATCGTCACTAGGGAGACAAAGGCGGTCGGGCGTGGTGCTGGCCACCCACCCCCTTCTGTGTCCTGCCAGCCTTCATCGGGGCTCACGAACTTGCGATTGACTGGTATCAGCGGTGTCAAGATTGGCGGTTGTGGAAGAGGCTCCTGAAGGATTCTACTGGGCAGTTGGAGGCAGTCGCCCTCCAGCAACGGCGGAGGGCAAAGGAGCAACGCTCACAACAACGAGCAGAGCGCTGGGTGTCTAAAACAGCAAGTTTGCACAGTAGGGGGCATAGGTGGTGCATCGGCCAGTCATCTCACTCATTCAACCAATGGCACCTGGGTCTGTTCCGTGACTTCCTGCAAGCATGCGTTTGACACTTCAAATGTCCTTAAAGTAAACATAGCTTGGAAGAAGCGACATGGTGATGTCACCGTCCCTTAATGGCAAACAGCGGTTGTTGTTGTGTGCGTGTGTGTACGTGTACATGTGTACGTGTACATGTGTATGTGTACATGTACGTGTGTACGTGTACATGTGTACATGTACGTGTGTACACGTGTACATGTACGTGTGTACATATATACATGTACGTGTGTACATATATACATGTAAATGTGTATGTGTGTGCACAGCCCTGATGAGCCACACCGGCGCGCCCATTGTCAATGGGAACTGGGCGATTGACCGGCCGGGCCGATTTGGTGCAGCTGGCACGGAGTTTGTTTACCAGCGGCCGAGCGAGGGCCCCGCGGGCCCCGGGGAGACCCTGACAGCGCGGGGCCCAACAAGCGAGCCCGTGAACGTCTACGTGAGTGGACACAAAGACAAAGATTCCTCACCTTACAAAACCGTGGGGCAAGTGCCATTAGTGAATAACTACCAAGGCCGGCACTGCAGATGAGGGGGCGATTTGGCCGGGCCTGGCCACCTTTGTCTTTCCAATGCTGATATTTGTACATTGCACCTCCTCCCTCCTCCTCGCACCTCCTCCACCCCCCAGGTGATTTGCCAGCAGCCCGAGCCAGCCGTGAGCTACGAGTTTGTGGTGCCCAGAGATGGGAGCCACGACGACGGTCGCCGTGGTGATGACGGCAAAGATGGTCACCGTGGCGATGGTGGAAACCACAGTGATGATGGTGATATCGGCGTTGAATCAGCACCCCTTGGGCCCCCTGGATCTCGCGTGCTCCCCGGAGCCCTGGGAACCCCTGGACCAGTACCCCCAGGTAGAGGCCGGGTTACTGGTTTGGATGATTCAGCTTCCATATCGAGGAATAGCGAGCGGTGGCGCAGTGGTTAGCGCGCGCTGCACTAAGAACCCGATGACCTGCACTCCATCTCTGCTCACAGCCACCATCCAACATCGGTGACGAATTTGTAAACAGGCGTTGGGACTCCCCTAGGTCGACTCAGCCTAAAATATATAATTGGTGCGGTGTGTATAAAACATCAACAATGGGGAGATAAAGGCGGCCAGGCATCGTGTTGGCCAACAATCCCCTCGTGTGCCGTCCCAGACTCTATAGGTGGTTGCTAACAGCACTTGCTACATGGAGGATCTTTTTTCTTACTAGAGGAGATGCAGAATGGAGCGAGCGGAGCTGAAGACCGTCAGCCTGGCACGCCCACCCCGGGCGACGATGCCACCTTTGCCACAGAGACGACGGTTGGGCGTGAGGTTGCCATGGCGATCGGTCCCCAACGAGCCCCCTCCGTGCCTGTGGCAATGGTGGCCCTCCCTCCCCGCATGCGGGAGCACAACTGGAAGCAGACGGGAAGCACGGAGTGCACGGTGACGTGCGGACACGGTGAGGGCGTGGTGAGTGAGAGGGTGAGTGGATGAGTGGTAGTTGTGTGGTCAGGTCGTGACGATCAGTGCCAACACACTCACCATAGCTTTGTCATACCCTTGCCGTAGCTGTCACCATGACCATACCATAACTGTGTAGTGACCATGCCGTGGCCATGTCCGTGCCGTAACCATGACTACGACGACGCCGTGACTGTGCCATGACCGCAGCTGTCATTGTGCTCTGACCGGGTGGTGCCATAGGTCAGCGCGTGCCGGTGTTCGGGTGCGTGCACCGCACGAGCCAGCGCGCCGTGACGGACTCTCTGTGCGACGCCACCATGAAGCCCACACCGGAGCCCGAGGCGTGTGCCACCCAACCCTGCCCAGCCTAGTGAGTGACTCTCATTCCCAACCTTGCCCACCTGAGTGAGTGACTCTCACACCCAACCCTGCCCAGGTTAGTGAGTGAGTCTCACACCCAACCCTGCCCGGCCTAGTGAGTGAGTCTCACACCCAGCCCTGCCCAGCCTCGTGAGTGACTCTCACACCCAACCTTGCCCACCCGAGTGAGTGACTCTCACACCCACCCCTGCCCAGGTTAGTGAGGGAGTCTTACACCCAACCCTGCCTGGCCTAGTGAGTGACTCTCATTCCCAACCTTGCCCACCTGAGTGAGTGACTCTCACACCCAACCCTGCCCAGGTTAGTGAGTGAGTCTCACACCCAACCCTGCCCGGCCTAGTGAGTGAGTCTCACACCCAGCCCTGCCCAGCCTCGTGAGTGACTCTCACACCCAACCTTGCCCACCCGAGTGAGTGACTCTCACACCCACCCCTGCCCAGGTTAGTGAGGGAGTCTTACACCCAACCCTGCCTGGCCTAGTGAGTGACTCTCACACGCAACCCTGCCTGGCCTAGTGAGTGACTCTCACACCCAATCTTGCCCAGCCTAGTGAGTTACTCTCACACGCAACCCTGCCTGGCTTAGTGAGTGACTCTCACACCCAACCCTACCCGGCCTAGTGAGTGACTCTCACACCCAACCCTACCCGGCCTAGTGAGTGACTCTCACACCCAACCCTACCTGGCCTAGTGAGTGACTCTCACACCCAATCTTGCCTGGCCTAGTGAGTGACTCTCACACCCAACCCTACCCGGCCTAGTGAGTGACTCTCACATCCAAACCTGCCCGGCCTAGTGAGTGACACTCACACCCAACCTTTCCCGGCCTAGTGAGTGACTCTCACACCCAACCCTGCCCAGTCTAGTGAGTGACACTCACACCCAACCCTGCCCAGTCTAGTGAGTGACTCTCACACCCAACCCCGCCCAGTCTAGTAAGTGACTCTCACACCCAACCCTGCCCAGTCTAGTGAGTGACACTCACACACAACCTTTCCCGGCCTAGTGAGTGACTCTCACACCCTACCCGGCCTAGTGAGTGACTCTCACACCCAATCTTGCCCAGCCTAGTAAGTGACTCTCACACCCAACCCTGCCTGGCTTAGTGAGTGACTCTCACACCCAACCCTGCCTAGACTAGTGAGTGCCCTTCACACCCAACCTTGCCCAGCCTAGTGAGTGACCCTCACACCCAACCCTGCCCAGTCTAGTGAGTGACTCTCACACCCAACCCTGCCCGGCCTAGTGAGTAACTCTCACACCCAACCCTGCCCGGCCAAGTGAGTGAGTCTCACACCCAACCTTTCCCGGCCTAGTGAGTAACTCCCACACCAAACCCTGCCCAGTCTAGTGAATGACACTCACACCCAACCATGCCTGGCCTAGTGAGTGACTCTCACACCCAACCTTGCCCACCTTAGTGAGTGACTTTCACACCCAACCTTGCCCAGCTAAGTGAGTGACTCTCACACTCAACCCTGCCCGGCTTAGTGAGTGAGCCTCACACCTCAACCTGCTCGGCTGAGTGAGTGACTCTCACAACCAACCTTTCCCGGCCGAGTGAGTGACTCTCACTACCAACCCTGCCCGGCTTAGTGAGTGAGTCTCACACCCAACCCTGCCCAGCTTAGTGAGTGACTCTCACATCCAACCTTGCCCAGCTTAGTGAGTGACTCTCACACTCAACCCTGCCCGGCTTAGTGAGTGACTCTCACACCCAACCCTACCCAGTCTAGTGAGTGACTCTTATTTCCAACCTTTCCCGGCCTAGTGACTGACTCTCACACCCAACCCTGCCCAGCCGAGTGAGTGACTCTCACACCCAACCCTGCCCAGTCTAGTGAGTGACACTCACACCCAACCCTGCCTAGTCTAGTGAGTGACACTCACACCCAACCCTGCCCAGTCTAGTGAGTGACTCTCACACCCAACCCTGCCTAGTCTAGTGAGTAACACTCACACCCAACCCTGCCCGGCCTAGTGAGTGACTCTCACACCCAACCTTGCCCAGCCTAGTGAGTGACTCTCACACCCAACCCTGCCCAATATAGTTAGTGACACTCACACCCAACCTTTCCCGGCCTAGTGAGTGACTCTCACACCCAACCCTGCCCGGTCTAGTGAGTTACACTCACACCCAACCCTGCCCAGTCTAGTGAGTGACTCTCACACCCAACCTTTTCCGGCCTAGTGAGTGGCTCTCACGCCCAACCTTTCCCGGCCTAGTGACTCTCACTCCCAACCCTGCCTGGCCTAGTGAGTGACTCTCACACCCAACCCTGCCTGACCTAGTGAGTGAGTCTCACACCCAACCCCACCCGGCCTAGTGAGTGCCCCTCGCACCCAATCTTGCCCAGCCTAGTGAGTGAACTCTCACACCCAACTCTGCCGGCCTAGTGAGTGACTCTCACACCCAACCCTACCCAGTCTAGTGAGTGACTCTTATTTCCAACCTTTCCCGGCCTAGTGAGTGACTCTCACACCCAACCCTGCCCAGTCTAGTGAGTGATTCTTACTACCAACCTTTCCCGGCCTAATGAGTGACTATCACACCCAATCTTGCCCAGTCTAGTAAGTGAGTCTCACACCCAACCCTGCCGACCCTAGTGAGTGACTCTCACACCCAACCCTGCCCAACGACACACCAGTGCATATACATATATAAATACACAAGCATCCCCCTCATAGCCTTTAACATATTGTGAGGGAAAGTGCTGTCATCAATCACCTCTGAAGGCCTGAATGGCACATGAGGGGGTTGGTGGTCTCTCCCCAGTGCTGATGGTTGTACACTGCAGCAGGTACTAATTTAAGGCTGAGTTGACCTCAGAGAAGCTTAGGACTGGTTAAAATATTCACCACTGTTATTGGGCGTAAGCTTGAATTAAACACGGGTCACCGGGTTCGTTGTGCAGAGCACTAACCACCGTGCCACTATTCACCACTTACACACACTCCCACTCACACACTCTACAGAACAGGGGGTGAACATCCAAATTGCACACTCACTCCTTCAGACCCGCACACAATACTCGTTCACGCTCACCGTAGAACACTGGAGCAAGGTAATTTGTGCACAGAGAGGTTCCTGCGTCGGTAATCGAACCAAGGCGCTCCTTACCGTGAGGCGCGTCACCTCCCACGCGCACGCCCCACATGGGCCCCCCCCCCCTCTGTGTCTGTGCCGTGAGCAGCTGGGACTTGGGCGAGTGGTCCGAGTGCACCCGGACGTGTGGGCCCGGTGTGCAGCACCGCCAGGTTCTGTGCCGCCAGGTGTACGCGGGTCGGGCCTCCGGTGTCCACCCCTCACGCTGCCGCCACCTACCGGCCCCCGACACGAGCAGCACGTGCCAGGAGAGGATCTGCAGCGAGTGGCTCGTGCGCGGAGACTGGAGTCCGGTGACTCACGAGCACCAGCGACAGTGTGTGTGTGTGGGTGGAGCGTGTGGTGTGTGGATATAGCGGGAATGCTGTGAACCCGGCAAACGGAGTTTGATTCCCGCTCACAGCCAACACCAGTGACGAATATCTGAACCGGTCCTGGGCCTCTCCTAGGTCGACTACCTAGTGCGTTGTGTAAATATCGCCACTAAGGCGACAAAGGCGGTAGGGCGTGGTGCTGGCCACCGGCCTCCTCTTGCACCATGCCAGCCCTCATGGGTGCCCAGCAACAACACTTGCCTCAACAGCCTGCAACAGGCTATACGGGGGATCTTTGCCTTTGTGGTGTGTGTGGTGCGGTGAGTGCAGTGTGTGTGACACGGTTTGATGCGGTGCCTGCTGTGCGGCATGTGCAGTGCTCGGTGCCGTGCGGCCTGGGCGAGCGGGCGCGTGACGTGGCATGCGTGAGCAATGCCGGGGACCCCGTCCCGGACTCCGAGTGTAACCCGCGACTGCGGCCGCCGCGAAGCGAGGCGTGCGCCCGGGGCCCCTGCGCCACCAGCTGGTTCCACACGGCGTGGAGCGCCCGGGTAGCTCACCCTCGCCACGTGTCCACCGCAGCGCTCATTAGACACAAAGTGCTTCCCACAAATGAACCACGATACCTTGCTGATCTCGTCAAGAAGTATAAACCATCATCACGCACACTCCGGTCATTGTCGCAGTGGCTTGTGGCCGGCCATCGAACAAAGACGGCCACTTCATCGCGTGCTTTTGGATGCACTTCTGCGGCCGTCTGGAATGCTCTTCTTTCCACTGGAACTGTGTATTTTTAAATCTAGATTAAAAGCTCATTTCTTTAGACCTGCTTTTTGTGTTTAGTTTTTTGTCCTTCCTCTGCACCTCTGATTATCACTGTTGGCTATGTACAGTGTGAAAGAAGTTCAACACACTCGCTCTTACCGAGCCTTCACTGCAGCCTGACCATCACCGCAGCCTCACTCTTAGCAGACCACCCTCATCACAGCCTCACCACAGCCTCACCAGATGGGTGCTGTGTGCTTGGAGTGTAGAAATTAAAACGTGGCGTGGCGCGTCACTGTGCCCTGTCGCATCTTGGTGTGGCGCAATGTGATGCGTTGTCGTGGAGTGTGATGCGTTGTGGTGTGATACATTGTGATGTGATGCATTGTGGTGTGGTGTGATGCGTTGTGGTGTGGCGTGCCAGGGGGTGATGCGTTCTGGTGTGGTGTGATGCGTTGTGGTGTGGCGTGCCGTGGTGTGATGCGGTGTGATGTGTTGTGATGTGGCGTGCCGTGAGATGATGCATTGTGATGTGTTGTGGTGTGGTGTGGCAGTGCTCGGGGGAGTGCGGTGCGGGCGGTGTGCACACTCGCTCCGTGGTGTGCCTGGCCAGCCAGGCCGGCTCCCTGCCCCTGGGGGGGTGCGGCCCTGAGCGGCCCCCCGCCACACGCGCCTGCACGCCGGGGCCCTGCCCCCCGCAAACTGCCTGGTACACGGGTCCCTGGGGACAGGTGGGTCACACGTCAGGCGGCCAGCAACAGACAGCACTGTTATGAAAGCTGTACTAGATAAGAGTTATTGACAGGGTCCTTGCATTGAGCAAGGTTATTACAACAGCTTGTGGGCGGGAAAAGAGATGAAGGGAGGAAATTCCAACATGAAGCAGTGATAGGGAAGAAGCAGAGAGAGACGCGAGGTGACCTGCAGTGTGGTGAGTGGGTGACTTAGCGAGTGGGTGACTAAGTGAATGGGTAGGTGAGTGAGTGAGTGGGTAGGTGAATGTGCTGTTGTGACCTGCAGTGTGGTGGCGGTTGAACACACAGTGTCCAGAAGCAAGTCCTCAACACAGGTGGAGGAAGCAATGAGTGATTGTGGTGCTGATGGTTTTGGTAACTGCGGTGGTTATGGTGCTGATCGTGGTGATCGTGGTGCAGTGTTCGAGTGAGTGCGGTGCCGGCACCGAGTCGCGGGAGATCATCTGTGTGCGTCGCGAGGGAGAGGGGGAGGTGGTGGTGCCGCGGTTGTCGGTGAGGCCGGCACTGGAGTGCTTCGGCCTCGCCCGGCCGCATGGGAGCCGCAGCTGCGAGAGGAGAGCATGCGGTGCGCGGTGGTACGGCACGGCCTGGAGTGCGGTGAGGAGCACGGCAACACACAGCTCCAGAACCACCACATACCACCGTGACATGCATCGGGCCCAAGTCCACAGCGCTCAAAACCTGTACGTGCCCCGTAACCCCCTCGCCCTACCACCATGGGCCCCCCCCCCGCCATGTGCCCCCCACCCCCATGTGCCCCCCACCCCCGTGACCCCCAGTGCTCGCGCTCGTGTGGGGGTGGGGTGCGCGTGCGGGAGCTGCGCTGCCTCCACGACGACTTCAGCGCGAGCGCCGCATGCCGGGGACGGCCAGCGGAGAGTGAGGCGTGTGGGGTGGAGCCGTGCCTCACCATGGCCGGTATACTCACCCGCAGATCACTCACCCGCAGATTACTCACTCACACTTTACTCACTCACAGCTCACTCACCCGTAGCTCATTTTCTCACCTGAGATCACTCACTCACTCGCAGATTACTCACCCACACTTCACTCACCTGCAGATCACTCACCAGCAGATCACTCACCTGCAGATCACTCACCCGCAGCTCACTCACTCACCCGCAGATTACTCACCCACAGCTCATTTTCTCACCCGAAATCACTCAACCACAGCTCACTCCGCAGATCACTCACCTGAGATCACTCACCCACAGCTCTTACACGTAACTCACCCGCAGATCACTCACCCGCAGCTCATTTACCCGCTCATTCACCCGCAGCTCACTCACCCACAGCTCACTCACCCGCAGCTCACTCACCCGCAGCTCACTCACCCGCAGCTCACTCACCCGCAGCTCACTCACCCGCAGCTCACTCACCCGCAGCTCACTCACCCGCAGCTCACTCACCCGCAGCTCACTCACCCGCAGCTCACTCACCCACAGCTCATTCACCCACAGCTCGCTCACTCAGAGCTCACTCGCCCAGCTTGCCTGCACACAGGAGCCCACGTTGAGCATCACCTCGCGTGTCATCGCAGGCTCCTCGTGCCAGGACAAGTTCCCCTCGTGCCACGTGGTGGCACAGGCGCGACTGTGTGCCTACCCCTACTACCGCAGCGCTTGCTGCGCCGCGTGCGCTCACCGTACCGGGCCGCACCACCACCACTACCGGCACTCTGCCGCCACCACACCCGGGTGAGCCTGCGAGCCGTCACAGACCCCTGCGCCGCTCAGAGAGGATGAGGGGTTGATTCCGCCCGCTGAGTGAGCCCTGTGCGAGTCAGCAAGGCTGCCGTGCACTCAATGCCACTTCCTGCTGCCCGACCGAGACGCACATGAAGCCAACGGCACTCACTTCCTGTTTACAGTCCTGCAGAGCCACTGGTGGAAATTCCAGATTACCATGTTGGGGACGAGTCTATTCATAGGACAACCACTACTGTCGGCTTCCCCACAAAGTTGGTATCTTTTTAAACGTGTCAGAGGGAAGGATGATGATGGGCTGGGTCAACCCCCCCTACCAGGAATTTGAACTCTCAACCTCCTGAATGCAAGCCGCTCACTCTATCGTCCCTGGCTGGGTGACCCTGAACGGGTGACGCCTTCACACGGTTTTCCACGAACCCTCTACGTGGCGCCGCTCCTGCTGCAGTCACGAGGGGAAATTCCTGATGGGACTTCTGCTCTGATGCCAAAACGTGAAACTTTGTGGTTAGAATTTGGCAGTGTTTCCAAGCGCCCAGACCATGGTCAGGGACCGTGCTCACTGACTTGTCGCCACGGTTGCGGTGATTGGAGCTCAAAGCGCAGGAAATCTTCCAACCCCGCCCGCACAACCCATGGGAACACCGGGGTTCACCTGGCGAAGGAATTGCCTTGCCTTCCGGGAAAACGGTCGCTGCTCATCGGCAGAACGCGCTGAAAACTGGCGGAGCGAATCCGGCGCTCGGTTACTGCAGCAGAGACCGAGGTCATCAACCTTGGTTTTCACTCCAATTGGTGCCACCGCCTGCCCTTGTTTGACCCGGGTTTCCCCCCGGACAGTCAGGGAATTAGCATCTATGATCAGGTGGCAGCAATTGATTTGTGCCGAGAGCTGGCACCAGGATTATTGCGTTGACCTCTATCAGAGTAACTGCAGTGTTGATAGACCCAGGCTGGCAGAGAATTGCCTAGGTTTGCTCTGTGGTGGGGAAGGGGACAGCCCTCGCCGTTCCAGCCTGTGGATCTTCTGGGAAACTGGCTTAAGAGTGTGGGTGACGATCGACACCTGTGTGTATATGGGAACGTGTACATAGAGGCCTGTGTGTGTGCGTATCTTATGTGTGTGTGTATCCTGTGTATATGGGTGCTGTCGATGTTGACGATGTTTATGATGTGAAAGCTGCTGTATTAAAGCCCCTTCTTTATATTTGTACACGGGGCCCTCTCTAATGATCTTACTGCTCTAAGAGGGATGGATTCTGGTCATGGTCGTGAAGCTGCCCCACCCATCCCGACCCCAACTACCCCCTGCTGCTGCGCGATTAGAATTCTGATGCCCCCTCTCCCAACGCTCCCCAAACAAGCCCCACCCCGTGTCTGGGAAGAATGGGCGGGTCTAAACGGAAAGAGGCGGGGCCTAAACAGAAAGAGGCGGGGCCTAAAGCTGGAGCAGGGCCTAAAGAGGAAAGGTGCGGGGCCGAACGAGGAAATGATAATGGGGCCTACAGAGGTTAAACTTCCCTATTCATTTAATGGCACATAATTAAATACGTGCAGTGGGCAGCAGCAGCAGTGGCACAGCTTCAGTACCACAGATGCAGCCACTGGCCGACGAGTTTGCCTTGACTGCCGAGAGGACGACTGAGTGAAACCCTGAGGGTGGGAGGCGCAGGGGGGTGAGATTCAGGTGGTCGTGCTGTTGAGGCGTACTTGGTGAGGTGGTGCTGGTGAGGCGTGCACAGTGTGGTAGTACTGGTGTGGTGAGGTAGTGTTGGTGAGGCGTGTGCACACTTCTCACTCACGCACGAGTGTTGACAGCGCCGCGCGCTGGGGCCTCTTTTATTTACATCGGAGTCCGAGCCGCGGTGGCGCCCACTCAGCCAGACCCCGCGTGCGTCACCGGCAGCAGCGGCTGCCTCGTGCAGCTAAGTGGGGTGTGCGGTGCAGAGTGCGAACTTAGGCGAGCGCAGGTGCGTGGCAGCGAGCGCGGTAACACAAACATCACAACAAACACCCGTCGCTGAGTGCATAGCCCCCCACCCCCCCCGTCAGCCCCTGCCCGCGTTTACCGTAACCACCAACACTGCCACGCCGTTTGCTCCACGCGCAGTGGGTGTTAAGAATCCTGCGACGTCATTCGCGAGAGTCGGCCGACCATGTGCCGGCGTCTAGGCCCAAATTCGAAAGTTACACCACAAATGACTCCACTTGGGATCACACACAGCAACATCATCCCCCGCTACTGGCAGATTCGTGCCCGCATACGGGCCAGGTGCCGAGCCACCTTCGTGCCGCACAGGGACAGCTGCCACTGCGGGCGCCCCCTCTCAAATGTTTACGTTGAGAGGAGAGTCGTAAGTCGCCGAGGTATTTTAGCGAGCGCCGTACAAGTGGGCGGCTGATTCTCGTGTCGTTATTGTCCACATCCTGCCAACGCGGGGGCGTGCGTTGCTCTCTTAAGCTGTGCAGTGTCTGTGAAATCGAACGTCTAAAGAGGGTGGGGGGCTCACTCTTATTAGTAAAACAAATGGAACCGCGAGCACACTTCGCGGTGTTCGTTTGCGCCCCCCCTCGTCAGCACCGTCCGTTTGCCCGATTGGTTTCATCCCCGGGGGCACGGGGGGCGGCTTCCATGGGGGGGGCGGCTTCCACGGAGGGAGCGGCCCCCGCCGGTGATGCCGCCTGCACCCGCAAGCTGACGTCGCGGCGGGGGGCCTGGGGGCTGGAGGGCTGGCGGGGGCTCTGTCCCCCTGATATCGTTCGCTTCCGCGGAGCCTGCGGACTGGTGGACAGGAATTTGCGTGTGGACTGTGGGCTGTTGTTTGCGTGCGAGCGAGCGAGCAGAGGTGAGCGAGTGAAGGTGGTGAATGGACACGTGGAAGTGAGTGCACAAAACAACGGCAGCAGTTACAACACAATTCAAGAGCAACATTCTAGATTTGAAGTTTTCGTGACTGCAAGGATCCATACTCTTGGTTCTTTTCGTAAAGTCACATAGATGAAAAATAAAAATAATAATAATGAAAATAATAAAATGAAAATAACTCTTGTGTTGCGCCCGAAACGTTGTTATTTAATGTAGTTATTTTCATTTTATTTTCATTATTATTTTTCATCTACGTGACTTTACCGAAAGAAACAAAGAGTATGTAAAGAGTAACAGTCGCAGCAGCAGTTGAGATTCGTGGTGATACCCGTGCGCGGGATGCAGTGAGGACTGGCGGCTCTCTACCATTATCTGCTCCTGTGTGCCAGCGTGTGCGTACCTCCATCTTCCCATGTGCATGCCCCTGTGCCCCCATGCGCCCGTGTTCCCACCGCGTGTGCTCACCTGGAGAAGGAGGCGCGCCGTGGTGTAGAGGGGCTGCCGGCGCCGCCCCCCACGGACAGCGTGGCCTTGCGCGCCGTCTGTGGGCTGGAGCGCGGCGCCGCCACCGTCACACCCCCCTTCCTGGTCACGCCCGGACTGCGGGGGGCAAGGCCGCGGGGGGTGGCCTGTGGGCTCCCCGGGAGGCCCGGGGGGGGGCCTCTAAGAGGCCGCAGCCGCAGCAGTGCGCAGTAGCGGTTGCAGCTGTGAGCGTCGTGGAAGGCATCGAGCGCAAGCGGAGCCGGAGTGGGGCCCCACTCCGCTGTCCTGCACATGGCACGGGTACACGACACGCGGAACGGGTACACGACACGCGGAAGCAGGTACACAACACGGGTACACAACACGCGGAAGCAGGTACACAACACGGGTACACGACACGCGGAAGCAGGTACACAACACGGGTATATGACACGTGGCACGGGTACACGATGTGCGTCCCGTCGGGGAGCTCCGGCAGGCAAGGCTGCGTTGACTGGATCATGATCGACCTCTGTGGAGGAGGCTCTTGGAGAACGCTCCTGGGCAGTTGGAGGCAGTCGCCCTCCAACAACAACGGAAAGCAGACAAGTGACACAACAACGAGCGGAGCACCAGGCGGCTAAAACGCAGCAAGTTGGCATACTGGGGGGCACAGGTAATGCATCTGCCACTCATCTCAGTGAGTAAACCCATGAGACCTGTGTGTCCCGTGACCTTCGACACTTCACGTGTCGAAGGTCACGGGACCTAGAGGTGCCTCTAGATTGGCACAAGCGCCATGGTGACGACACCGCTACTTAGTGATAGATGAAGGTTGTGTGTGAAGGTGATGTCATCGCCACTTACTCAGGAAAACGCGTGGCCACCTCTACATCCGTTAGCGTGAGGCCCACACCTGGTACGCACACACAAAGACAAAAATCCCCGTGTAGCCAACACAGACTGTTGGGGCAAGTGTTCTTAGCGAGCACCTATGAAGTCTGGTACGGCACAGCTATATGTGGGTGATGTCGCCAGAACCACGCCCAGCCACATTTGTCTCTCCAGTGCAGATGTTTCCACACCACACCAAGTACTCGTATAAAGCTGAGTCGGGGTAGGGGAGGCCCAGGACTGGTTGAGATGTTTGTCACCAACGTTGGCCATGAACGGGAATCAAACTCAAGCCACCAGCTCATAGCGCAGTACGCTAACCACTTTGCCACCGCTCTCCACACTCGCGCGCGCACACACAGTGTACTATAATGCATGGTAACTGTGGCCGTGGTGATCATGGCGACTCGCCGTGGAAAACGTGTCACTGGAGCGATTGTGTTGCCGGGTGCGGTACCTTTGGCATTGGTCACGATGAGGTTTCCGCTCGTCCACAGGTACAGCCAGTGGCGGAGAGTGTGGCACTTCTCGTGGGCCTCTCCCTCGGCCCCCGGGGTCCCCCCTGCCCCCTCCGGCACAAACCGCTCTATGCGGCCACCCAGCTCAGGCTCCAGCGAGGCGTAGGGCACGTGGCTGCCCGGCCGGAAGATCATGAATACCGGAACGATCCTGGGCACAGGAGCAGCAGTCACAGCAAAGCCACTGCCACCGCGGCAATTGGCGGGGCCACCTGTGCCTCACCGCATTGCCAGCACCCGCTCGCTTTCTGGTGGTCAGTCACCTCGTCACTCTTCTATCACTACTGCCGTGGGTACCGTTCCCATAAAATTCACTCGTTTTCTCTGCCAGTGTTGAGGTTGCCAGACACTGACTGTCGTCTCACCCTGCACACTGTTCCACTCACTTCCCCACTCACTTCCCTATTCGCTTCCCTACTCACTCCCTCACTCACTTCCCCAATCAAATAATCACTCACCTGCTTGCTCACCTACTGTCTCACCCACCCACTCACCACACTGCAGGTCACCTCACTTCTCTTCCTGCTGCTTCCCTCACACTGCTCCACTTTGGAATTCCCTCTCCCACCATCTTTTCGCCACATTCACTAACAATTGTAACCTCGCGTATTAACTCTTCGATTACAACTTTGACAACTGTGCCGTTTCACTGCTGGCCATTTGCCGTTGTGGGCCTTTGGGCCGCCGTGCTCGGCAACCGTGACGGACACGGAACCGGGCGTGGTGCACGTGACAACGGTGCAGACTCACTCAGGGACTCCTCCGAACCCCTCCACGGTGCGCGCCTCAGTGCTGAACAGCTTGCAGTATTCCCGCGCCGTGTTCTGAGACTTGCACACCTGCAACAGGGAGCACACAACATGGAGTCACGATGGTGATGGTCGCGTTGCAGTGGTGGGTGGGTGGGTGTGTGAGCGGGTTTTATACCTCGACGGTGAGCTTCTGGTTCTTAGCGACGAGTGCGGCGGTGTCGCGGCGCGTGCTGAACGCGATAGCGCCGTGGACCTTTAGGACGCACGCGCTGCCCGACTCGAAGAGCGGCGCCAGCCCATAGACGACACGCGTGCGGAACACCTTACGGTGCGCCGCGCCGCCCAGCGGCGCGTCCTCCGTAATAATGCGTCCAAAGAAGCGGTCGCCCCAGTGGCTAGTGTCACGCGCGCCCTTCGCGAACACCAGCGGCGTCATCTCGATCTCCTCGCCGTCTGCAAGCGGGGAGACGCGCGGAGGCGCCACCGCGTCGACATTCAGGTTATATTTGTTCAACCGAGAGAGAAGTCAGCAGACCAGCATCGGGTCTTAGTGGCAACAGTGACCTGGATCACCAAAACTATGAAAGCAAAAACAAAGTACGACAATCAAGCAAATAGAAATCGGAGTTGCACTGCAGAGTGGCTGGCTGGTGGAGGTGGAGCGGTGAACCTCACGTTCTGGGGTATTCACCTTTGACCTCATCTCTGTTCACCAGCTCCCGCAAGACTGTGAACACAAGAGGGTTTGGAGTTGTTTGTTTAGCCCGGAACAACATTCTGGGGTGAGTTGCGGGACTGTGGGGCGGACCAACAAGACCTTCCCTGTAGTGCGTTTCCCGAGCGCCAAGTCGCAGGCTTGGTGCTCTCCTGTGTGTATTGGTGGTAGTGATGGTGGTGGAGTCTGTGTGGTGGAGGATGTGTGGTGGAGGTGGTGGTGGTGGAGCCTGTGTGGTGGAAGTGGTGGTGGTGGAGCCTGTGTGGTGGAGGTGGTGGTGGAGCCTGTGTGGTGGTGGAGCCTGTGTGGTGGAGGTGGTGGTGGTGGTGGAGCCTGTGTGGTGGTCAAGCCTGTGTGGTGGAGCCTGTGTGGTGGTCGAGCCTGTGTGGTGGAGCCTGTGTGGTGGTCGAGCCTGTGTGGTGGAGCCTGTGTGGTGGTGGAGCCTGTGTGGTGGAGGTGGTGGTGGTAGTGGTGGTGGTGGTGGAAGCCTGTGTGGTGGAGGTGGTGGTGGAGCCTGTGTGGTGGTGGAGGTGGTGGTGGAGCCTGTGTGGTGGTGGAGGTGGTGGTGGAGCCTGTGTGGTGGTGGTGGTGGAGCCTGTGTGGTGGAGGTGGTGGTGGAGCCTGAGTGGTGGTGGAGCTTGAGTGGTGGAGGTAGTGGTGGAGGTGGTGGTGGAGCCTGTGTGGTGGAGGTGGTGGCTCTACCTTCATGAGTGAGGTGCAGCTCCGCGGACGCGGTGCCGTGCCGGTTGGACACGGTGCACGTGTAGAGGCCGTGGTCCTTGCGCGAGGCCTGCGGCAGCGCCAGTGACGTGGGGCCCTCGTCCCCCGCGCTGGTGAGTGCAGGCACACAGCACATGCACACACGCAGAACACGCAACACACGCAGCACACGCAACACACGCAGCACACGCAGCACGCAGAGTACACAGAACACGTTGCACAGTCATGTACATGGCACAAACAACATATTCAGAGAGCGGTACATACAGCGCAGAACACAGCACATAGCGTTGCAGCATACACCGCACACACAGGATACACAGCACACACGGCTATATGAGAAGAGCTGCCAATGCCCCGGAACACGGATTCACTATCGACATTATGCAGAACGCTAATAAGACTTTCCGTAATTTCTTCTCGATCGGTGTGATCACCTCAACTCCATCTCCGTGAGGAGTGTCCCGTTGCGGCTCCAGGAGACGCGCGAGCTGGTGAGGACATTGAAGAACTGGCACCAGAGCTTCAGGTTGCCGGCAAGGTCCGGGAACGCGTCCACGCGGATCTTTCGCAGCAGCTGGGGTGCTGGACGGGGGGGGAGGGGGGTCACAGATGGCGAGGACGTGGCAAGGGTGAGCGCAGCCTGGCGAGGCCTCGCATTCGCACATGGAACGGAACGGAACACAAAGGTCGCCCGTGTTGCCTTCACAGGCTGCTATGGGTTTTACAGGTGTGCGTGCGTGCAGGGCTGAGGGTTATATAGCCTGGGGATTGGTTCGGACATTACTTTAGAAAACCACTCATCTTTACACGAAGTTACAGAAACGTTACATAGCCTCATGGTGGCGATTGCACGTGCGTGCGTGCGAGTGGACGAGGGTTTGTGCCGTTGCCGCTGCTGATGCCACAAGAGCTTTGCCTTTGAAGGGGTCGTGCACGGTGCTGGTGGTCTCCTCCGCGCTGCCGGGGCTCGGGTGTTCGGTGGCCCTCTCTGCAGGCCCCGGCACCGCGTCCCAGCCGCGGAGCCGGCGCAGGCAGCCGGGGGAGCTGGTCGTCGCATCTGGGGCCCCCCTGGGCCCATCGGAGGCCTCAGGGCCCTGGGGGGCAGCTGCCCTCACGGATGATGCCTTTGGGGAAGGTGGTGCCGCCACCTTCTCTGACGGTCTGGCGTCTACTGACACGGCCATGCGCACACGCACAGAGGCACCTTCCATTACACCAAGGCACCTTGGACCACTCTACACGCAATCAGCGACTTACATCTCATCTCAACGCATTTCAAAGGCACCCCCTTTCAAATGCGTTGAGCACAAGGTGAAACAGCAACTGGTTTGCGACTGGGCATCGGTGTGCCAGCAGGGGGCGATCATTGCTGCTGTGCAGAGGCGGCCTCGAGTTATAACTCTCCACGGTGCGAGGACAACCAACAACTGACAGGGACAGCCGCGTGCAGGAGGAGCCAAAGCAACGGGGGGATCACCTTTTGCCAGGGAGGCCTCGGCGGCTGAGGCCGGAGCAGGTCTTTCGCCGTCGACCGGCGTCGGTTCCTGCGTGTCCGGGCTAGCGGTCGTTGGGAGGAGCAGCTTGGCGGCGTCCGATCTGCATGCGACGGCGCTGAGCAACACCGGTTGTTTTTCCGTCGCGTCGCCTTCCTGCTCGCCGCCGGGAGGTTGTGGTGCGGAGGCGGCGTCGCCCGCGCCGCGGGGGATGAAGACCTTCCTGCGGGCTCCGGACGCCAGCTCCTGTGGTGTGGCCGAGGGCAGCAGTGCCCGACGCGCCGTCTCCGGGGAGCTGCCGGCACCGCGTAGCCGCGCCAACAGCGGGCTGCGAGGAGTGAGCCCCGTGCTCGTGTCTTCTACCAGGATGGTCGGGAGCGCCGGGCAACCCCCCGGGATGTGCTCCTCTCCCTCCTCCTCGCCGCGCTGCTCCGTTTCCACCGATACGAGGGCCTCGCTTCTCGCCATCGGCACCGGTTTTGGTGCGGCATGCAACTCATTGGCGTTATCCGTTCCAGGCCTCTCTGCAGATACGTCTTTGCCCACATCGCCGCTGTCCTCGGCGGACTCCGTAAGTCTAGCTTTCCCAACCACTCCATCTCCCTTCACAGGTGGATCCCCACCCTTGCCACGGTCAATCAGGGGCTCCTCGGGGGACACTGCCAAGTCGGCGTCAGCCGCCGCATCCTGTTGAGCGACGACGAGGTAGTCTTTTGGCTCGGCCCGGCGAGGCTGCTGCGGAGGGGGTGCGGCGCTCGCTTGCCGCTCGCGCTCAGCCTTCCCTTGCTCCTCCACCGCTCGCTCCATCACCACTGGTGGCACCTTGGGGAGTTTGAAGATGAAGACTGAGGAGTCAGCGCGTGCGCTGCTCTCACCTCCACTCGGTATCCCCGCGTTCTCCCCACCACTGTCTGCTCGCTGCTTCTCCCGTCCCAAGTTCTCCAGGTAAATGTCCGACTCCGCCGCGCCCGTTTCTCCGGCGCTGGCCACGCTGATGGCGTTGGCTGCTGTATTGTCAGCTTCACAACGTGTGGCGCCACCCGCCCACGAGTGAGGAGCCGACGGCCGCTCCGCCGCAGAGTCGGTTCCGACTACGGCTTTCTGTCCCCCGGCCCCGGCGGCCACTGTGGCGTGGACAGGCACTTGCTGGCCATCATGATGTCCCTCCGCTCGCAAACCTTTGTCGGAGGTTTCCACGTTAGCCGTATGGCAAACCTTCTTCCCACGAGCCCTTTGCTCATCAACTCTGCTTTCTCCGGCCGGCCTCCGCGAGCTGACGTTGGCACGCGGGGCAATGCCCCCATCCGTCGTCACGCCGCCCGGCCTCATTTCGCTCTCTTGCATCTCCAGCGTCACTCGTTCCGAGGAGACCCCCGGCCCCGCAGGGGGTGCCCGCTCCACAGGAGGCCCTGGCTCGACGGGGGGGCCCTCCTTCACGGGGTGCCACAGGTCGGGCTCCGTCTCTGTGGTGCTGGACGAGTCCTCGGAGGACACGCCGAGTGGCGATGTGATGTGAGCGTACGAGCATGTGTCGTCCGTTGAGTCGGTGCTGAGTTGGGAGGATGGGGGGCGCTGGCTGCCCGCTTCCACCACCACGTCCCGACGGCCCCCCTCGTGATGGGCGTCTGCCACGCCGGGGTGTGGAGCCTGCGGCAGGGAGCGTTCATTTGCACAATAGCTTAGTTCTCGTGATGTTGTTGGTGACGACATTCATATTCAGAAAATGTGAAGGTGCAGCCCTGCTAGTGGCTGCTAACACCACTGCTGGCACACGGGGACCTCCCTTTGTTTGGCCTACTCTTCTACGTACCCACAAGTGACAATTTAATCCTTTCCCACTCCAATTACATTCATGTACATTGTGAGTTTTTATTCCGATTCTGTTCGAATGACATACGTGTAAGTCATCGGAACGGAATCGGAAGAAAAACTAAAATAAAAAAATATTTTATCAGCACCAAGGCTCCTTACAAGGCCATGCAGGAGGGCGTGCGGCAGAGTTTGCCACCAGCTATCATAGAGTGCGACTGTGTCACTACAGTTCTCTGCGGTGATTACAATGTCTTTAAAACAACGGCGCAATCGCTCTCTAAATAAAATTAATGCTAACCGCTTGCGCGTTCTGAGATTCAGTGGTGATCGCATGTCTCGAAATGGAAAAAAGGTTAATATGTGTCAGGTGGTGGAAGGTTTTTACAACAGAAATGTATCCAGATTACGTCGCTTAACTCAATGACCAAGTACGAGTAATAATCATCACCGTCATCATCGTCATACCTGCACGAAGCCTCCAGACGCCCACCGGCTCCGATGCAGCAGCATCATGGCGGCCTCCGGGGAGTCCGGCGGTGGGCTTGGGCCCGACGTCTGGAAGTACTCGTCACGGTGCATTCTCCCGTGGGGCCCTGGCGTGGCACGGCGCCGCGGGCCCTCCACCACGTAGTACTCCACCGGTGACTGCGCTGGCTGCTGTCGCGGTGACCGTGGAACTAGCGGCAGCGCGGGGGGGGGTGGGATCAGCGGCAGGTTGAGGCCGGCGCTTTGCACCGGCCGCGGCGCCGCCCCTTGCCGCCACGTGCCTGCGACGCGCAAAGCGCCATCATCACTTGACCCGCGGTTTGCACGCGCATTCCAAGCAATGCCCGCAGCCTCGGGGCTGCCTGCCAGGTAGGCCAGGCTGCCCAGAAGGCTACTGCTCCTGCCGGAGCCGCTGCTGGTCTCCGTGCTGGTCTCCGTGCTGGTGTCAGTGCTGGCCGGGGCCACGCTGGAGTCGCCGGTGGAGGATGAGGCGCGGGCGGTGAACCAACCGCCGCTGGAGACCGTGTCCGTGTCGTCGCTCGGCAGGGGTGTCTCATTGGGTGAGTAGAAGTAGAGTGGTGTCTCCGTGCGGTCCGAGTCGGGTGAGGGGAGGCCATCTGACAGCGTGTAGTATGAGTCCCCAAACTCCTCTGTCACATCCGACGAGGAGTCAACGGCCTCTGAGCTGTAGTCGGGAGATGTGGCGCTCTCCTCGTCCGCCGTATCATATAAATCTTCGCACGCATCGCTCTCCGCGTCAGTTGTGCCCTGCCCTGGGCTCGTATTGGGGCGCGACGCCGGCGAGAACGGAGGCTCGCTCGCCGGCATTCGCCCCGAGTGACCGCCGGTCTCGTTGTCCGTGCCGCCCGTGCTCATCGCCGTGTCGAATTCGTCGGGGCTCCGTGCGGGAGACGCGGGGAAACCGAGCACTTCCGTGGGGGTGGTGCTCGCCGAAGACCTCGTGTCATCCTCGCTCGTTTTCTCTGACTCCATCTCGGAGGCGCTCAGCTCGCTGGGCTGGGATGTGTCGCTCAGCTTGCTCCCGTCATGAGCACCGTGTAGGAGCTCGCGCAGGTACTCGCCCACCGTCGGGACCTTTGCATCCGGCGATCGCTCCTCCTCGGGCTGCTTCTCATGCTGCCGCTCGTGCTGTTCTGCTTCGTCCACGACCTTCAGGGTTACGATGGCGGCCGACTCCCCGGTCGCCCTGCTCCTCTTAAAGTGTGCAGCGTCGGGTTTGTGTGCGGGGCGCGTGGTGATGATCTCCTCCACCGTCTCCATTACGTACACCACCGAGCCGCCACCACCACCGCTGTCTCCACCGTCGTCTGGGTCCCCATGGGACCCATCGCCGCGACCGCGGTCCTCCTTGCCCCGCGCGGAGCCAGACTTCCACGAAGCCTTCCGGTCTACAGAGCCCAGCCCACCGTGGAAACCATTGAGCTTTGCGTCCGCTGCGTCCTGGCTGGCCTCGCCGCGACCCGCGACCCGCTTGGGCGGAGACACGGGCCCGACAAGGGGCCCAGTGAGGGGGCCGCCCCCAGGCTCAGATGAGCCGCTGAGACGTGGCGCATGCGCCGCCCTCTTGGGCGACGAGGTGGCCCGGCTCCTCGCTCGCTCAGCACGGACCGAAGACGGCGATGAAGACGGCGATGGATTGCGGAGGTCGGGCGAGCGGCGTTTGCGGCGCGTCCGCGACTCGGGGCTGCGGTGCCAGGAGGTCGCCGTGCCGGCCGCTGCGGTTGTTGCCGGGGTGGCGCCGTCATGCGCTGCCGTGCCCTTGTTTTCCTTGCCGGGTGCCCGCGCGGCCTCGCAGCGCCGCGCCTCTGCCTTGGCCTTCAGTTTGTTGAACCAGCGCTGGTGGATCTTGAACTCGTTCATGGTGGCCACCTCCAGCACGGCGGAGCAGGACACAATGCCCTTGGTGTTTCGCGCCGACACCTGGTAGATGGCCGCGTCCTCCTCCGTGCACCTAAGTGGGCATGGGGGAGAAGCCGGGCCCGGGTTTGGTGGCTTTGCCCTGATCCGCTGCCGCACGCGTGCCCAGTGGGGATCGTTGTGTAGGCGTCGTGTCTGTAGGGGCCACGGTGTGTGTGTGGTGTGTATTTCGTGCAGTGCCTCCTGCCGTTGTCGCTGTGTTTCAATTCTGCCTGTGGGGACCGCCACGTTAGTCGACTCCCTTCGAGTCAGTGGCCTCATCGATGAACACGGCCAATCAGGCCGGGGCTGAGAGCACTGGACATGCAGTACGGGGGTCAGGTGGATGTGCGTTGAGCCTTGCAGCTGCCTGTGAGCAGCACGACCCTGCGTGTACTTAAAGCCCCAGGAGGGATCTGCTATTTGATACTGGAGGGCTGGTGGACGAGGTTAATGCAGGCTAATTACATGTCACCGTATCAAGGGAGAGTTGTTCATCCACCCAGTGATGCAAGTGAGCATCCCTACTTCTCTTATCAAAGGAAGCAGGTCCCCCATGGACCCTGGACTGTCGCCCCCCTCCCACTCCAACTGTATCTCTCTGAGATCCAGCCATGCATGTATGGGTCACGTGTCTAAGGCAGGTGTGTTTGTGCGTGTATATAGTGTGTGTTGTGCATGTGCAGTGCACATGTCACGTGCCGTGTACGTGCCATGTGTGTGTGTTGTGCATGTGGAGCGTGTCGTGTGTACGTGTTTTGCATGTGGAGCATGTCGTGTGAGCGTGTTGTGCATGTGGAGCGTGTCGTGTGTACGTGTTTTGCATGTGGAGCATGTCGTGTGAGCGTGTTGTGCATGTGGAGCGTGCCGTGTGAGTGTGTTATGCGTGTGGAGCGTACCGTGTGAGCGTGTTGTGCATGTGGAGCGTGCCATGTGTGCGTGTTGTGCATGTGGAGCATGCCGTGTGTGCCTTGCAGGGCGCACTAACCGGTACACCTTGAGTGTGTGCACTTTTCCCTCGCGCAGGATTTCATATTTGGGCAGCCCGCAGAACCGGTCGAGCTGTTCATCGTCACGATACCACAGGACCTCGGGCTCTGGGTGGCCTGGGGGTCGAAGGTTGGGCGGGGGGAGGGCAACAAGGTCAGGGGCTTTAGAGTCAATGGTCAGTGAGTTCCTGCTTATACAAGCATCGTGGTGTTATAATGTTAGTGATTGTGGTATTATATGGACAGTGATTGTGGCGTTATGATAGTGATTGTTGTGTTATACTAGTGAGTGTGGTGTTATAATGGTTAGTGATTTTGGTGTTATGATAGTGATTTTGGTGTTATAGTGATTGTGTTATAATGGGAGTGATTGTAATGTTGTAATGACAGTGATTGACGATGTGATTTGTAACGTTGATCCTTACCCATATATATCGAAAGTTAAATTTTTACGTGAACATTTATTGAAGGACTGTGTGTTGTTTTTATGTGGTCTGGGACTGTTTTTGCTGTTCCAATTATGCATTTTGAACTGTGTTACTTGATTATATTTAAGGGGCGCCATGGTAGTGTGATGTTATCTTCCTGTCATGGTATGCAGGAGGTCATGGGTTCAATCCCGGCCATGACGCCTGTATATTTTGAGTTTGCATGTTCTCCCCGTGGTCATGTGGATTGTTTTATCCAGGTCCTCTGGTTTTACCCTTCACGTTAAGAAAAATACGTTTAGATTATTTGGCTGCTATAAATCTCCACTTTACAAGCCACATAGTTGAGCTATCATTTGTGGCCAGGTCGCATGTGGTAAGAAAAAAAATATTCTTAGCTCTTTCGGTAAAGTTACGTGACTTTACCGAAGGAGCTAAGAATATGAATTACTGCAGTCACGAAAGCTTTAAATAAAAAAAATAAAAAAATAGTTTAGTTTCATTTCATGCATTTTTAGTGATTTGTTTACCTTTCCTATACTTTGCACTCTTATCTTTGTTTTCTATTGATTGTTGTAACTTTCTGACCCCGTGCCCCTACTGGACCATCTGTGAAAAAGAGCTTCATAGCTCATCGGATTTCTCCAGGATAAATAAAGATTATGATTCATTCATCTAGGAAAGCCACACCCAATTTATGGGTGTTTATTCTAAATAAAAAAATATGAACGTTGGTGCTTAGCTGCATTTTACAGCACTGATCAAGTGGTGTAAATTCCACATTCCTTTGGTGGGGGTGAGTCTATCCATCGGGCAACCGCTGTTGATCTTCCCCATATCGTTATTTTGACCCAGGGGGAGGGATGATGATTGGTTGAATCAACCCCCACAACCAGGATTTGAACTTGCGACCTTCAGACGGCCATCCGGTCGCCAGTGCTTGCTGGTCAATCAATTTGTTTGAACCACACTTTCGAAAGCTCATTATGGCTTCTCCAGTAGAACATTCATCTGGCACAATGGGAGGCTGATCCAATGCCCGATTGCGGTTAAAGGATGGCTCCCTATTGGTCAACCATGTTATGTATGCTAATGTTCTGTTAATTACTGCTTAGGTAATGGAGCAGTTATAGAGAGAGTGGAGAAGTTTTGGTACCTAGGCAGTGTGCTTATAAATAGCTCTGGTTTGACAGCAGAAGTCTCAGTCCGAATCAATCGGGCGGCATTATCTTTTCATCGGCTGTGTAATGCTGTGTGGAAGTTACCTGGTCTATCACTCCACACAAAACTCTGGGTCTTCTCAGCCAATTCATGCCCTCCCTCCTCTATGCTTATGAAACGTGGATCCTTCGAATGGAACATCTGCACCAGTCAGGCTGGCCTGCATACGATCCATTCTGGGTTTAACCAGGCTGGATTGTATGAGGAGCTCACATCGTTGAAAGCTATAGACACATTCCCATCAGTGAGCTCCGGCACGCGAGGCTGCGTTGGCTGGGTCATGTAGCTCGCATGCCCAAGCAGCTTCTGTTTGGCCGCATAGAGGGGGCTAATTGGGCACGGCACGAGCTGGAGAAGAGATAGACTGAAACGGTACAAGATGATCTGGAGCTGAGTGGACTTGCCGAAGACTAGTACCAGTGGTTAAGATCGGCCTCTATGGAGGAGACTGGTGAAGGACGCTACTGGGTGGTTGGAGGCAGTCACCATCCAACAACAATGGAGGACAGAGAAGCGACACAACAACGCAGCGCTGGGCGCAGCGCCGGGCGACCAAAATGCAGCAAATTGGCACTGTTGGTGCATCTGCCAGTCATCTCAGTAAAGGGGCCGTCCATAAATTACGTCATGCTCTAGAGGAGTTGTACACCCCTAGCTGTCACTGCTATTCAGTGGCCTAAAATAAAATGTTTCGCTCCGGATGACCGCTGAAAAGTATTATCTGTATTTTTATTTAGTGTGCTGATCTTAAAGGTGCATTGAAAAATTTGATACTCCGACTGATGCTCCTGTTGTTGTGGAGTGACTCATGCAGCCAGCTATGGCTCTCGGGTTTGGTGTTACATGTTGTTTATGTCGTTTATTGTGAAAATTCGGTCACAGTTCCTATGATCACTGTTACATTTCTTTTATGGCTTTATTTTGGTGATTTCGAAAAGTTTTTTGGTTTGGCCATGTTTGTTTGTTGTAGTACGGAGTTAGACTGATGGCCTTAATCCAAGTTGTTTTGTGGTTGCTGTTGGTGTTTGACTTGCATCCCACTGGGATTTTTGCACACAGCGTTGGTGTACGGTGCTTTTTCAGGAATATTTTGCTGTTTTTTCCTGGATTTTCTGTTTGCACAGTCACATAGTCACTTTAAGATGTTTTCTTGTTCATGTTTTTGTTGTTTGTTTGTTGCGGTTGCACCCGATTCAAGAGCCGAATGGCTCACAGGGCTATACCAAATAAATGAAACTGAAAACTGAAAACGCACCTGGGGGGGGGGGGGGGAGGGGAGTCAGACATTTGTGACGATGTGTGACGAGGGAGGGGGGTGTTTGAGAAATGTCACGTCACATGAAAATGCGCAACTTTAAATAAATATTAATTAAATAGAATTGTTATAACAAAACTAATTTTGATTAATTTTCATTATTAACTATTTGATTATTTAAATTTACTAAGGTCACCTTTTATTTATTCCATGACGGGGCATTTTGCTTCTCCATGGGAGAATGGAGAAGCATACATTTTGTCAAAATTTTTAATGATTCTTATTAAACATTTTGATTTTAATGATTATACCAGGGCTTTTTCATTCTGTGAAATGAATATGTGATTGTTATAACTGTACTCTCCATTTTGCTTCGTTCTACTGCAAAGTTTCAAGTATTTTTTATAGTTATAATTACTTTTAATATTTTATAATTATAAGAGAATTTCAATATAATATTCTGAACATCTGCAGTTTTATTTAGACGTTGAATATCTTCAAGTTAATTTTATACTAAATTTCAGGTTTCCAACACCTTTTTAATACGTGTGTGTGTAGGTGTGTGGGTGTGTGTCTATGTGGACCGGTGTGTGTGCATGTGTGTAGGTGTGTGGGTGTGTGGGTGTGTCTATGTGGACGTGTACCTATGTGTGTGTGTGTGTATGTAGCGCGCTGCGCTATGAACCCGGCGACACGGGTTCGATTCCCGCTCAGGGCCAACACCAGTGACGATTTTCTGAACCGGTCCCGGGCCTCCCCTAGGTCGACTCAGCCTCAAATGAGTACCTGGTGCGGTGTGTAAACATTGCCACTAGGGAGACAAAGGCGGTCGGGCGTGGTGCTGGCCACCCACCCCCTCGTGTACCGTTACCAGCCTTCATAGGTGCTCACTAACAACACTTGCCCCGACAGTCTGTTAAGGCTATACGGGGGATCTTTGTCTTTTTGTCTATGTGGACGTGTGCCCGTGTGTGTGAGTGTCTATGTGGATGTGTGCCTGTGTGTGTGTGCCTGTGTGTGTAGGGGGGTCCCCGAAACGTGGACCCCCCCTAATGGAACATCTTTGCCGATTCGAAACATTTAGACTGGCCTGCCTACGATCAATCCTGGGTTTAACCAGGCTGGATTGTGTGAGTAGCTCACAAATCCTCGAAAGATCTGGACAAAGTTCCATCGGTGAGCACCTCCGGCAGGCAAGGCTTGCGTTGGCTGGGCCATGTCGCCCGCATGCCCAATCACCGCATGCCCAAACAGCTTTTGTTCGGCCGGATCGAGGGGGATAAACGGGCGCGGCACGGGCTAGAGAAGAGATGGAGTGACGTGGTACAGGAGGATGTGGAGCTGAGATGACTGGTACCAGCGGTGTCAAGATCGGCCTCTGTTGGAGGAGGCTCGTGAAGGACGCTACTGGGCAGTTGGAGGCAGTCGCCCTCCAACAACAACGGAGGGCAAAAGAGCGACACAACAACGAGCGGAGCGCCGGGTGGCTAAAGCACAGCAAGTTGGCACAGTAGGGGGGACAGGTGGTGCAATCAGCCAGTCATCTCGGTCATCTCAGTCGACCCGTGGCACCTGGGTCAGCCCCGTGACCTCCTGCCAGCGGGCGTTTGACACTTCACATGGCCTCAAGGTGCACATGACCTGGCACAAGCGTCGTGGTGACGTCGCCGCCACTTAGTGGCGAATGGCGGTTGTTGTGGTGTGGGTGTGTGTGTGGGTATGTGTGTGTGGGTGTGCGCGCTACCGCTCACGGTGCACGTGAAGCGCACGTCCGTATCCTCGCTCACGGCGCGCGACCTCGGGGTCACGGCAAACATCGGAGACGACTCCTCCGCCAGCTGCGACATGATGGTGCACAGGGTGTGCCTGGACAGGGGGCACAGAGGGTACCGGGCCACGGGGAGATGGTCACAGGAACGAGGATCGGAGGCAAGGTACAAGGCTCCTAGCACAGGGGGCATGAGGCAATGGGAGTACAAGCCAACGGGGTGTGGTGGCAAGGGCACAGGCTAAGGACAAGGTTAGATGGTAAGAGGCAGAATGAAATAGGGCAAGTGGCAGGGGGCATGGAGCACAGGCAAGGGGTTATGGGGATGTGGTCACAAGGGACGCCCCCCCCCCGCCCCCCCCAACATCCCCCGCTTTATATCAGCTGACCCGGGATCGGGGGCAAGGGGACACAGGCCAAGGGGGTACACGGAGCACAATGGCAGGGGTCTGGGTTTTTACCCTAAACCTTGGTGCGTGACCCTGAACCCCTGTGCGGGACCCCCTCACCGGTTCTCTGGCCGCACGTCGGAGAGGTATGGGTTGAGCTCTCGGGAGGAGCTCTTCTTGGGCGTGTGCGGCACGTAGCGGGAACCCTGACCCGGGGCTCCGGGCCCGTTCCGAGAGCGGGACGTCATCGCTGCTGCTGCTGTTGATGATGATGATGATTGCTGATGATCCTGCTGCGGAGGACGGAGAACGGTAGGCGTTAGGGTGACGGCCAGAAGGGAGAGTTGAGGAGTGGGATAAGGAGAGAGTTGAGTGGGAGAAGGATGAGAAGGATAAAATGGAATGGGATGAGGGGTGGAATGAGGACGATGAGCACGAGTGTAGAACTGAGATGAGGATGAGAAAAGTGTTCAGGATGAGCTGGATGATGAGAGAGTTGAGAATGAGTGAGATGAGGAGGTTCGGGATTGCGAGCAGCAGCTGCAGGTGCGGGCGCACGGGGCCACGGGCCTCGTAAACAGCTCCGTGCGTCATGGAATGTTGGCGTCGTTGACCTCGTGCAGGGGTCCAGGGAGGGGGCCCCGGGGCCGGGCCTCGCCCCGGACCCCTCCCGCCGTCACCCCCAAACCCAGCAGGGCAGCGGTTGACCCTATCAAGGGGACCCGAGAGGGTCTGCCAGGCTCGCCACTCCACTCAGTCCGTTCCTCGACAGCCGTTCTCGTCGCAGCTTCACTTAAAACGCAATCATCGCGACGGCGGGAGCACGCCAGGGAAGAGGTCGCCTCCGTCCTTCAGGGACCCAGGGACCCCCGCTCCCCGGGTCCTCCAGGCGAGTGGATACATGACCTGGACTTCTGATCACGGCCCCCGCGGTCCCTATGGTAGGGATCGGCTCAGGGACCCCGATGGAGACTTGAGGGGACCCGGGCCCCGTCGCAGTCACGGGAGCTGCGTCTCGCCAGCTGGCGCCTAAAAATACCCCGAGTCGCCCTCTCCCTCTCTCCCACAAGAACCCCCACGCCCCAGGGCTCTCCGCGACCCCCGATCGGCCCCGTCTCTGACGCGGCTCCGGGGAGCCCCATGAGTCGCCGCGGGGACCCGGAGAGACCACGAACTCACTCACTCACTCACCGCGGGGAGCTGGTGCGGGCGAGATGGAAGGGTCCCTGGTGGGGTCCCCTGATCTGGGTGCCGCGACTGGAGGCGCCGAGGGAACGCGACACCGGCAGCGGGACGCGTGCGCAGTGGCGGCCGCGCCGCTATTTCTGTCTCCCAAAGTCATCGCTGGGGAATGGCCCCCTCAGGCCCCCTGCACCTCCCCTTTGGGCCCCCGCCTCCTCCTCCCTCCCCTCTCCTGCGTGTCCCTTCGCCTCACTGAAGAGGAGGGACGGGGCAGTGGCACCCTCCTCCCTCTTCTCCAAATCTTAAAACAGGGGCTCCTGGAACACCACTCACTTAACTCCCTAAATAGGGACGCTCACTCATCTAAACCCCAACACGGACCCCCAATCATCAGAACCCCAACACGAACCCCCACCTACCTGAACCCCAACACGGATCCCCACTCACTTGAACCCCAACACGGACCCCCACTCACCTGAACCCCAACACGGACCCCCACTCACCTGAACCCCAACAAGGACCCTCACTCATCTAAACCCAACACGGACCCCCACTCACCTGAACCCCAACACGGACCCCCACCTACCTGAACCCCAACACGGACCCCCACTCATCTAAACCCCAACACGGACCCCAACTCACCTGAACCTCAACACGGATCCCCACCAAACCTGAACCTCAACACGGACCCCCACTTACCTGAACCTCAACACGGACCCCCACTCACCTGAACCCCAACACGGACCCCCACTCAAAACCCCAACACGGACCCCCACTCACCTGAACCCCAAAAGGACCCCCACTTACCTGAACCCCAACACGGACCCCCACTCACCTGAACCCCAACAAGGACACCCACTCACCTGAACCCCAACAAGGACCCCCACTTACCTGAACCCCAACACGAACCCCCACTCACCTGAACCCCAAAAGGACCCCCAGTCACCTGAACCCCAACACGGACCCCCACTCTAAACCCCAACACGGACCCCCACTCACCTGAACCCCAACACGGACCCCCACTTACCTGAACTCCAACACGGACCCCCACTCACCTGAACCCCAACACGGACCCCCACTCACCTGAACCCCAACACGGACCCCCATTCACCTGAGCCCCAACACGGACCCCCACGCATCTAAACCCAACACGGACCCCCACTCACCTGAACCCCAACATGGACCCCCACTCACCTGAACCCCAAAAGGACCCCCAGTCACCTGAACCCCAACACGGACCCCCACTCTAAACCCCAACACGGACCCCCACTCACCTGAACCCCAACACGGACCCCCACTTACCTGAACTCCAACACGGACCCCCACTCACCTGAACCCCAACACGGACCCCCACTCACCTGAACCCCAACACGGACCCCCACTCTAAACCCCAACAAGGACCCCCACTCACCTGAACCCCAACAAGGACCCCCACTCACCTGAACCCCAACAAGGAACCCCACTCACCTGAACCCCAACACGGACCCCCACTCACCTGAACCCCAACACGGACCCCCATTCACCTGAGCCCCAACACGGACCCCCACGCATCTAAACCCAACACGGACCCCCACTCACCTGAACCCCAATACGGACCCCCACTCACCTGAACCCCAACAAGGACCCCCAATTATCTAAACCCAACACCGACCCCTGCTTACCTGAACCCCAACTTGGACCCCCACTTACCTGAACCCCAACAAGGACCCCCACTCATCTAAACGCAACTTGGACCCCCACTTACCTGAACCCCTACAAGGACCCACACTCATCTAAACCGCAACACGGACCCCCACTCACCTGAACCCCAACACGGACCCCCACTTTAAACCCCAACACGGACCCCAACTCACCTGAACCCCAGTGTCAGTAGCAGTGTTGGTACTATGGGTAGTGTTATTACCAGTGTTAGGACTGTGGGTAGAGTTAGTACCAGTGTTAGTACTGTGGGTAGAGTTAGTACCAGTGTTTGTACTGTGGGTAGAGTTAGTACCAGTGTTTGTACTGTGGGTAGAGTTAGTAACAGTTTTAGGAGCAGTGTTAGTACTGTGAGTAGAGTTATTGCCAGTGTTATTCGCAGTGTTGGTAGTGTGGGTACAGTTAAACCGGTGTTAGTACTGTGGGTAGAGTTAGTATCAGTGTTATGACCGTATGTAGAGTTAGTACCAGTGTTAGAACTGTGAGTAGAGTTAGCACCAGTGTTAGTAGCAGTGTTGGTACTGTGGTTACAGTTAGTACCAGTGCTAGTACCGTGGGTAGAATTAGTATCAGTGTTAGGACTGTACGTAGAGTTAGTACCAGTGTTAACACTGTGAGTAGAGTTAGATCCAGTGTTACTAGTAGTGTTGGTACTGTGGGTAGTGTTATTTCCAGTGTTAGTACAGGAGCAATGTTGCTACTGAGGGTAGTGTTAGTTCCAGTGATAGTACAGAGCAACGTTGGTACTGTGGGTAGTATTAGTTCCAGTGTTAGTACAGGAGCAATATTGGTACTGTGGGTAGTGTTAGTTAACAGTGTTAGTACAGGAGTAATGTTGGTACTGTGGGGAGTATTAGTTCCAGTGTTAGTACAGGAGCAATGTTGGTACTGTGGGTAGTGTTAATTCCAGTGTTAGTACAGGAGCAATGTTGGTACTGTGGGTAGTGTTAGTTCCAGTGTTAGTACAGGAGCAATGTTGGTACTGTGGGTAGTGTTAGTTCCAGTGTTAGTACAGGGGCAATGTTGGTACTGTGGGTAGTGTTAGTTCCAGTGTTAGTACAGGAGCAATGTTGGTACTGAGGGTAGTGTTAGTTCCAGTGTTAGTACAGGAGCAATCTTGGTACTGTGGGTAGTGTTAGTTCCAGTGTTAGTACAGGAGCAATGTTGGTACTGTGGGTAGTGTGAGTTCCAGTGTTAGTACAGGAGCAATGTTGGTACTGCGGGGTGTTAGTTCCAGTGTTAGTACAGGAGCAATGTTGGTACTGTGGGTAGTGTTAGTTCAAGTGTTAGTACAGGAGCAATGTTGGTACTGTGGGTAGTGTTAGTTCCAGTGTTAGAACAGGAGCAATGTTGGTACTGTGGGTAGTGTTATTTCCAGTGTTAGTACAGGAGCAACGTTGGTACTGAGGGTAGTGTTAGTTCCAGTGATAGTACAGAGCAACGTTGATACTGTGGGTAGTGTTAATTCCAGTGTTAGTATAGGAGCAACGTTGGTACTGTGGGTAGTGTTAGTTCCAGTGTTAGTACAGGAGCAATGTTGGTACTGTGGGTAGTGTTAGTTCCAGTGTTAGTACAGCAGCAATGTTGGTACTGAGGGTAGTGTTAGTTCCAGTGTTAGTACAGGAGCAATGTTGGTACTGTGGGTAGTGTTAGTTCCAGTGTTAGTACAGAGCAACTTTGGTACTGTGGGTAGTGTTATTTCCAGTGTTAGTACAGGAGCAATGTTGCTACTGAGGGTAGTGTTAGTTCCAGTGATAGTACAGAGCAACGTTGGTACTGTGGGTAGTATTAGTTCCAGTGTTAGTACAGGAGCAATGTTGGTACTGTGCGTAGTGTTAGTTCCAGTGTTAGTACAGGAGCAATGTTGGTACTGTTGGTAGTGTTAGTTCCAGTGTTAGTACAGGAGCAATATTGGTATTGTGGGTAGTGTTAGTTCCAGTATTAGTACAGGAGAAATGTTGGTACTGTGGGTAGTGTTAGTTCCAGTGTTAGTACAGGAGCAACGTTGGTACTGTGGGTAGTGTTAGTTCCAGTGTTAGTACAGGAGTAATGTTGGTACTGTGGGTAATGTTAATTCCAGTGTTAGTACAGGAGCAACGATGGTACTGTGGGTAGTATTAGTTCCAGTGTTAGTACAGGAGCAATGTTGGTACTGTGGGTAGTGTTAGTTCCAGTGTTAGTACAGGAGCAATGTTGGTACTGTGGGTAGTGTTAGTTCCAGTGTTAGTACAGGAGCAATATTGGTACTGTGGGTAGTGTTAGTTCCAGTGTTAGTACAGGAGCAATGTTGGTATTGTGGGTAGTATTAGTTCCAGTGTTAGTACAGGAGCAATGTTGGTACTGTGCGTAGTGTTAGTTCCAGTGTTACTACAGGAGCAATGTTGGTACTGTTGGTAGTGTTAGTTCCAGTGTTAGTACAGGAGCAATGTTGGTTCTGTGCGTAGTGTTAGTTGCAGTGTTAGTACAGGAGCAATGTTGGTACTGTGGGTAGTGTTATTTCCAGTGTTAGTACAGGAGCAACGTTGGTACTATGGGTAGTGTTAGTTCCAGTGTTAGTACAGGAGCAATGTTGGTACTGTGGGTAGTGTTAGTTTCAGTGTTAGTACAGGAGCAATGTTGGTACTGTGGGTAGTGTTACTTCCAGTGTTAGTACAGGAGCAACGTTGGTACTGTGGGTAGTGTTAGTTCCAGTGTTAGTACAGGAGCAACGTTGGTACTGTGGGTAGTGTTAGTTCCAGTGTTAGTACAGGAGCAATGTTGGTACTGTGGGTAGTGTTAGTTCCAGTGTTAGTACAGGAGCAATGTTGATACTGTGGGTAGTGTTAGTTCCAGTGTTAGTACAGGAGCAATGTTGGTACTGTGGGTAGTGTTAGTTCCAGTGTTAGTACAGAGAAACGTTGGTACTGTGGGTAGTGTTATTTCCAGTGTTAGTACAGGAGCAATGTTGGTACTGTGGGTATTGTTAATTCCAGTGTTAGTTCAGGAGCAATATTGATACTGTGGGTAGTGTTACTTCCAGTGTTAGTACAGGAGCAACGTTGGTACTGTGGGTAGTATTAGTTCCAGTGTTAGTACAGGAGCAATGTTGGTACTGTGGGTAGTGTTAGTTCCAGTGTTAGTACAGGAGCAATGTTGGTACTGTGGGTAGTGTTAGTTCCAGTGTTAGTACAGGAGCAATGTTGGTACTGTGGGTATTGTTAATTCCAGTGTTAGTTCAGGAGCAATATTGATACTGTGGGTAGTGTTACTTCCATTGTTAGTACAGGAGCAACGTTGGTACTGTGGGTAGTATTAGTTCCAGTGTTAGTACAGGAGCAATGTTGGTTACTGTGGGTAGTGTTAGTTCCCAGTGTTAGTACAGGAGCAATGTTGGTACTTGTGGGTTAGTGTTAGTTCCAGTGTTAGTACAGGAGCAATGTTGGTACTGTGGGTAGTGTTAGT